TTAGTGTGATCTGATCTCATGTTTGGGGTGGGAATGATAAATAGAATCAGTGACCATAAGAACTTGGTTTATGGAGTGTTGCTAAGATAAGCTTGTTTGGTGCCCATTCTTAGGTTAGGGGATGTCCTAGCATCTTAAAAATACTGCTCAAATTGCTTTGTTAGAAGTTGTGCTTAACATACAAAGCAAAAACCCAACAAGAGCAAAGATTTAAGGAAAATCTAATATTTTTGAAAAATAGGTACTTGCTAAATTGATTTTATAATAGTCATAGTTATAATTTTGAAAAATAGTTATTTCTACAACATGTAACATTTTAAGATAATAACTGTAAGTGAGACATGCATGTTTAGTTGTTTAGAGATGTATGCTTGTACTCAGTAGATGACCTATCTGTGGCTCCCATTTCTGGTTAGACATCAGAATCACCTGTTATGCTTATTAATTCTTGCGTTCCATATCCTTCTCTGTATCTCAACTCCATAACCACTGTTCAGATTCATTAAGTGTAGTAGAGCCTTGGCTCTGTTATGTTCAAGCTCTGGGAAATCATTCCCTAAGATGAATTGCTATTTGTTCATGAGACATGAACTTGGTAAAGGCAATAACAAAACTCTAATTTTTTCTTCCTAAATTGCTATTGAAAAGTAAGTTATTTGGAAACAAAAACACTCTCAGATAGTTTCTTGAGTTCTGATGAAGAAATACTGGAAAAGATGTAAACACTAGTAGTCTTTACTGAGTTGTTAGGTCCTCAGGATCAGTATTTTCAAGTTGAAAGCAATAAAAAAGATACCATCATATTTCTTCACTCTGTTAAATATAAAAGCTAACCTCTATATAACTAGAGGTTACAGTGAGAATGTTAAGATCTTCAGAACATTGTGAGATCCCAAAGCAATATAGTTATCTGGAAAAAAATTTCTTTATTTCCATAATACTTCACAATTTTTTGGGGGGGGGGGTCCGGTCGTGGGGCCTGAACTCTGGGCCTGGGCGCTGTCCCTCAGCTCTTCAGCTCAAGGCTAGCGCTCTACCACTTGAGCCACAGCACCACTTCCGGCTTTTTTCTTTTTGCTTATGTGGTGCTGAGGAATCGAACCCAGGGCCTCATGCATTCAAGGCAAGCGCTCTACCACTGAGCCACCTTCCCAGCCCTTACTTCACAATTTTTTATTCCTTTAATTGGAATAAAATTGTTTGGATCTATTTCTCACTTTTTAGCTAACCAAACCAAGTGTGTGTATTTTTTTTAAACAAAACATAATGCAGTAATTATACTTAGCATCATTCTTATCAAATACCTCTTTAACTATATTGTGAGAATTAAATGAAATCTTACCTGTAAGAGGCACCTTGACATCAAGGCCATAGAATAAAGGCAAGAGAGAAGAACAAGAATAGAAACAGAAACTGCAGAGGAAAAAGAAGAAGATTATGTAAACGGGAACTTCTGAAGAGCCATTCAGGTAGCAAAAATCCTCAGCTTTTCCTCATTGCCCATCTTCCCAACTCTCTCACACACACATACAAATACCTTTCTGTTTCAAAAATCTATACTGTTTATTTACAAAGTAACGCTACCCTTTAACTCACATTGATTCATAATTGCCTATCCAAGCTCCTATTTGTATAAATGAAGCAGTAAGCCAATGTATAGTTTCATACAATTTGACAATATGGACCAGAACATAGGTATCTCACTGTACCTCATCACAGTATATTGTGTATATCTTCCTTTTATGAGAGGTAGTTCAAATATACAAGATGTGATTAGAACATATAGTACAGTCGCTCATTAAGTTATTGTTACTTGTTAATGTGATATGTTTGAGAACTGAGACATAGCATGGAGAATATTAATGTGTTGGGTAAACATATAGTTTATTATCCACAGTGGAAGACTTCTGAGAGGGGAAAGGGACACTATTTGTAAATCACTGAAGCAACAGGTGTAAACTGGGCCTCTCCAGGGGCAGATAGGATGTGTGATTGTACTACTGATAGAAAACACCTTTCCACATCTGCTCGCATTTCAAATAATGGAAGAACGGTGCTCCAGCTGTGTGATCAGAGATAGACCTCTCCTAGCTGCCTCCTAGCAGTTAATGGAGATGGAGACTGATTTGTCTTTCTTCCTGTAAACCCTCACTAGAGGAGTGGATAACAGTATGAAGAAACACATACTTACACAGCACTGGGATATATAATCAAGTGCATGATAATTATAAAGGAATAGAGGATAGCCAGGTTTTAAAAATAATTGATTTTCTTGGTAGTTTACATTATTCCACTCCAAGATCATCTTGTTTGGTATGCCATCTTTGAACTATACATTCGCATATTGTGCATGCTATTTGTATATTTCCTTTATTGACACTGTCTCTAAAAATCTTCCTTTACTAAGGGCATATTCTACCAACAAGTCAATAATAGGGTTCTGAGAGCCATGTGTTAGTGATTATTCTATTCTTTTTTAAAGTAGAAACTTTATCCGTTAAAAAAAACCCTATTCTTTGAAACTATACCTATTTCAGAAAAAAGCTAATAGAAGACTAGAATAGAAAGCTTAGCACTGTTCTTACAATAAGGTAAAAGAAAATCAGAGCTACCTTTCTGGACATGAGATGTCTATCATTTAGACTATAATAAAAATTTTTGGTACAATGTAGTGGCTGATCATAGCATTCAAAGCCATATATCCTAAAGTTTTTAGGCGTTTTTGTAGGTTTCTATATACTCTTATATACTTGTACATACTCTATATACTTGTTCAATCTTTTTGTCTATCTGATAGAATAATCATGAGAATCAATGAGCTGATGGCAGCAAAAGTACACATCAGTAAACTGCTGTGTACATTTGAGGTGATTTTGCTGGGTTTGTCAAATATAGTAAAGGGAAGAGAGTTATCTCTGAAATGTCTTTAGACATTTTACTAGATTGTATAAGGAGAATAAAATGAGGTTAAGTGAATAGAAGATCCAGTAAAAATTTCATCTCTCATTCAACACTTCAATCAGAAATCAAGTGAAATTGTTGAAGTGTTTAGTTTACTATCTCATGAGTAATACACAATTCATTGCCCTGTAAAGTAGTTTTCTCCATTTTCACAAGGTTCAGATCTATAAGATGTACTGAAGAAAAGAACAAAACATAGGTCCCATGGTTTCCCTTATTTGCAATAACTAATATATGTCTGGGACAAGCAGAAAAGGTCAGATAAGATGCTGTTAAGTGAAATGAACCCCAAGAAATGGACACAAGTGGTTTTTTTTTTTCCTTGCTATTGTTTATAAAGTATTTATAAGGTACCCTGTGATTGTTTTGTTGCTTTGTATGTCCCTCCCCCATGGTATAATCCCTGTTTTCACTGTATTTGATGTTGGTATAATTTGGGGAGGGGAAGAGAAAAAACAAAATGTTTAAAAGGGATTCAGAATGACCCATTGCAACAATGAGTTGTACAAGACACTATGTGTAAAACGAACTTTACAATTTAGGCGGGGGTGGGGGGGTAGTTGAGGAGGTGGGAGGGATGGGTTGGTAGGGAAAAAAAAAGGAGGAGACAACAATGCTTGATAAGAAATGTACTCATTACCTTGCTCATGTAATTGTAACCCCTCTGTACACTATTTTCACAATAAAAAACTAACTTAAAAAAAGATTCACACTAGATACTAGCAATGAATATATTCTTAATCTGTTTTCTCTCAACATTTCCATGGTCTCTATTAAGAATAAGGATAGTGTGGTGACTTTAATACGCATCTCTCATTTTAAATCTTCACCTGAGTGAGGAGCAGGAGAACATATTTTCTGGGGGAAGAAAATGACTTGAGGGTTGCTTCTTCAAGCAGAACTAAGGGAGTGTATGATAAGTAGAGAGTATTTATAAGGTTTTGTCCCTTTAAATATGGAAATAGAACACATTGGATGTGGCTGTCAATAACCAGGGAAGATGGGAGCAGCCTCTGCCTTCTGAAGTTCTTCCTGACAATCACTAGAAAATTAAACTTAACTCTTTCTATTACCTTTGCCTTAGGAATTGCTGCAGAACCAAGTCTAGTTCTGAAAATGGGGGGAATTCAAATACAAAATTTTACAGAGGATACAAATATTAGGAGTGGAAAGTTTCTAAATGATACTTTTTAATCTGATTTTTTAGTGTTTCCTAATTTTTACCTGTGACCTTATTTCTCAATGAACCTATAAAAGAAGGTAAGTGCAGATGTTAGCATTCCCACTTTGTAGAAATGGTTTCAACATAAGAGGTGCACCTGTCTTATAAGATAAAATAATAATAATAATAATAATAATAATAATAATAATAATAATAATGCAGGGCTTCTTTTGCTGAAGGAGACACCAGAGAGAATCTTTATTCCTCAGTAGGATGTGGCTAGCATAGCGGGCAAGACAGTTCTTTGCCCTGTAAAACTGTTGAGTTTAAAGCAGCTTGCTCAACATCCCTGCCTGAGCCAGATAACTTCTCCAGATACAATTGCTTCATTTCTCTAAAACACTGGAAGTCTTGTCAGCAGCAGTGTCTCTTTCAGACAGACATCTGGGGAACTCTAGGAGAACATAATTTCTGAATTTTGGTGAAATAGAGGGTAAAGGGTTATTTATGTAAACAATGATGGGAAAGTTTTTTTATGTGCTAAGTACTTCTTAAAAGAAATCAGAGTAACAAAATGCAGAAGAAATTCATAGAAAGGAAATGAAGACAAGGGAAGGCAAACTGAGAAAAGGAAACAAAGAAAGTAGTAAGAATCAACAGACAGGACAAATGTGTCAAGGCTAGATTACTAATGCAACAACCTGTCTAGAATCCTAGTACCTGACTGCAAGTGAGCTCTATCTTTACTGGACCTATGCTTACTTATGCCAGATCCACAGTAACTGAAAAGAAAGAGAGAAAGCATGGCTAACAAAATCAATATTCCTTTCTCATTAAGTAAATAAATAACAAAGTAGATATTGAACTTCACACATACCTTTTCTTCTAAATCTTTTATCTGCCTTTTCTGGATATCTGTTTTATCTTCTAGGTCCCGGATTCTCTGGAGAAAATGGGAAAAAGAAAGCAACGTGAGAATCTACAGAACAAAATTATTGATTGAACAGAAACATAAAACTTTCTATAAATCATTAACAGTAATAAGGAGAAGCTAGAAAAAACACTCGTACACATGTTCATACCTACAATATTGCTTCATGCTTTAGAAACTACCTAGACATGTGGACCATTATCCCTAAATATATTAAGAATATTTTCCACTTTTTCTGGTGTGGATTTTGAGTATCTTTCAAAGACTCACATGATACAGGCTGCTTACTAGCCTGCAGCAATATGAGAACTTCCATCTTGTTGCTTAAGGCAGTTGCTTAAGGAAGTAGGGCCTACTAAAGGAGCTAAGCCACTGTGGGTATGGCACTGGAGTGGATATTGGAGTCTGAGTTCCTTTGCTCTACCACGCAGTTCCTATTAAAATGTACTGCCTCACTGCAGGACAAAAGCAACATGGCTGAAACCATGAGCGCAAACACATGATTTCCTTTATTAAGCTGATGTTCTCAGGCATTTTGTCTCTGTGACTGAAAGTTCACTAGCCAATTATTCTTCTCTTCTGGCTGTATCTTTGCAGAGACTGGCCCCAAATAAGATGTATAAATCCCACCTGAGTGATGTGGCTTGGCCAAGAGACTTGTTCTGGCTAATCAAATGTATTTGATGTAAGATATGGGAATCATATCTCCTTCTCATAAAGAGGGCACTATATCTCAGAACTAGTGAGCAAACAGTACATTTAGTTGTAAGCCTTTTAGATTGAGATGCAAGGTTATTTACTGGCAAAGTAAAAGTGGCTAAGGCAAACTTGTTCAAATGTAAACAACACTATCATTTTTTATTGCTAGACTTTCTGTGTTATTTTACAGAATTTTGTCATAAAATAGAATTTCACAAAGCAAAACAAACAGAGTAGAGTATACACTTCACCATCACGTCTCAGAAGAGAAGTGGCAAACTAAGAGAAAACACAAATCATAAGAAAAAACTGCACAAGTAATCATAAAGGCAAGAAAGCTCTGAGACACTGAACTTACCTGTTAAGTACAGAACCAAATTCCACTAATTTCAATGGCACACATATTTACAAGTAAAAGTAGTCTTTACAATCACAGCTGGCAACCTAATGGCTTTTTGTGTCCAGTGCAGAGACTGCACTGGAAGCTAAAAGTGGTGATAACATATATAGAGAGGTTTTTATAATGCAATGTGAAGAGAAAAAAGGAAAGAGGGAAGAAAGAGTACTTTGACTTGGAAATTACGTCTCTTCTAAAACTATGAAATTTCCCCCATTCTCCTGGAAGGGATATTTGACTATGCCTGGATATTTAAAAACAGTATGATTTTTTAAAATGTATATACTTTATATATTCTTTTGTTAAGAATTCTATTCTGTTTTGTTGCAGTGCACTCTTGCTCTTTCTCTCATAAAAGCTTCATCTGTTAGTTTCAAAATGAATACAATTCCTTAGAAACTTAATCAACTTCCTGAATATTAAATGATGTCTACTTTAACTGGACTCTAGTGGCTCATTTCTGTAAATCCTACCTACTCAGGAGGCTGAGGTCTGAGGGTCATGGTTCTAGGCTGTGCAGGGAAGTCCATGAGACTCTTATCTCCAATCGATCCTCAAAAAGCCAGAAATGGAGCTGTGGCTCAAGTGGCAGAATTCTATTCTATTCCAAGGAATGGTACCGCATGCGCACGTGCAGCAGTGTTAAGATTGAGAAATTCTGTTGCAGGGGAACGGGGTTGTGTAGGAGGGGCTGGTGAGTCCTAGTTAGAGTGAAGATAACAAAGTTGACATTGAAATGACATGGTCATAAATGCCAGAGAAGCAGATGAAAACGAAATGGTAATGATGTATGTGTATGTGTTGTGTGTGTGTGTGTATGTGTTGTGTGTGTGTGTGTGTGTGTGTGTGTGTGTGTGTGTGTGTGTGTATGGAGTTGCTTTTTTCATTTTTTATGACTGAATTCATTTTTATTTTTTTAATTAAGTTTTTATTGTGTAAATACTGTACAGAAGGGTTACAGTTACATGAGCAAGGTAATGAGTACATTTCTTATCTAGCATTGTTGTCTCCTCCTTTGTTTTTCCCCTACCATCCCTTCCTTCCCATCTCCTCAGCTACACCCCCGCACCCCTACTAAATTATAAAGTTCGTTTTTGGACATAGTGTCTTGTACATCTCCTTGTTGCAATGGGTCAATCTGTATCCCTATTTAAACAATTTGTGTTTTGCCTTCCGCTCCCCAAATTATTTTTATAAAGGTGATATATAAAGGGGTTACAGTTACATAAGTCAGATAATGAGTATATCTGTTCCCTATATCTGTTCCTTCCCTCTCTCCAGTTTTTCCCTTCCATCCCCAGGCAGAAGCTGTACAGTTCATTTTTCACATAGTGTAGTGAGTACCACAGCAGCATTTGTTTCACCCTTTATCCCTCCATTTCTATGTCTGCCTTTACCCTCCCAAGACAGATAAACAAACCAACAAGACAAAACAGAAAGAAAACAAAAACGGCAGCCAAGAACAAAGCTTCTTGTTTGTATTTCCTGGAGTTTATTTTTAGAGTTGTTTTTTAAAAAAATTGACCCCAGAGCCTTACGTGAAGAGCTAAGTGCTCTACCACTCGAGTCATGCCCACAGCTCCCTTCCTATTTTTATTTTTAAATTAAATTAATTTTGTTTTTACAGATAGGGACTCACATTAACTTTCCTAGACTGGCCTTGACGTGGAGATCCTCCCCCACAGACCTCCCACATAGCCAGATTTATAGGTGAGTACCACCACACCCAGCGTATATTTGCAATATTTCATCGCCAATATGTCCAATTCCTAGTGCAGCACTTGGCATGGAGAAACTGTGCCTACATGTTAGTTAAATGAATCCATTATGCCGCATTGTCTGATGAAGGCTGGCTTTCCTTTCCTTTCCCACACAGCAGAAAACCATATCAGGCCCCAAGTAGATTCATTTTAATGTCTCCAGCTGCCAAGACAGCTAATCACTGTCATTCCTTATGGGGGCTAGTGTGATGTGTACTGCTTCTTATCTTGTTCATCTTACATTACCCACAACATCTGCCATGAGCTCTTTGAGTGGATGACTGGATTGGGGTTGTAGCAGCACTTGCCTAGTAGGCATGAGCACTTGGATGGTAGCCCTATCACCACAGGGAGAAACAAACACCTGATACTGAAAGCATCATAGAAGTCCTCTGAGGTCAAGAGGAAGGGAAGAGCTGGGGGCTCAAACCTGTAATCCTAGCTACTCAGGAGGCTGAGATCTGAGGATTGTAGTTCAAAGTCAGCCCAGGCAGGAAAGTCTGTGAGACTCTTATCTCCAATTAGCCATCAAAAAGCTAACCATGAGTTCAAGAGGTACAGTGCTGGTGTTGATCAAAAAAGCTCAGGTACAGCTCCCAGACTCTGAGGTCGATCTCCAGGACACACACACACACACACACACACACACACACACACACACACACACACACACACACACACACACACACACGGTGGGGCAGAGGAAGAGAATATGAAGGAAAACTAATTGCATTGTACTCAAAATAAAACTCAAACTAGGTGGTCTTACATAATTTCTCTTTAGCCTCCAGTATCCAGACTCCATGGGCTCCTGCCATTCTAGCCTGTGCTCTGTTCCTTTAATTTTCTAAACTTACTTCCACATTACAGATTTCATTTTTGCTATCCATATCTTCTGGAATGTTTTGTCATGATCTTTGTGTGGTTGGTTCCTTGGGTTGTAGATATTAAATGAGAGACCTCCTCTGACCAGCCAATCTATAGGAGCCTGTCCTAGTATCAAATTCACAGCACTGTACTTTTCTTTGTATCCCTTACTGCCAGTCTCAGAAATTGCTTTTGTCATTGCTGTTTTATCTTGCGGTTTTGTCCTTTCCCATCTGTAAGATGGATCCTAGTGCTTTATGTCTTCAGTCACCCTAGAATTCCTGACATCTGGTATCCAGCAGATCCTTCATATATGGATTCAAATGAAGGTAAAGCAAGGTAGGCTTAATTTGAGGAGCGTGTAGCTTATTTTATGTATCAATAAAAGTATCCTAAAGAAGGTGGTTGACAAACTGAGAATGGAAAAAATGAGAATGTTTGACTAAATATAGTGGAAACGAAGGAGCATTTTAAGATGAAAAAAAATCACACAAACCAATATGCAGAACTCGGAAACAATAGCCAAGTAGTACCAGGAAGTTTTTGCATGAGTGGAGAAAGAATAGCATTCTGTAGAGAACATCTCAAGCAGATTTTGGCAGGAGGGGTAGCCAGATAATGAAGGAGCTGAAGAGGCCTGCCAAGGACGTGACTCAACTGGAAATTGAGACCGTGGATGTTTTGAGCAAAACTGCATCATGGGGGAATGTGAACTAGACAGGTAAGGAGGAAGTCTGCCCTATAACGGCCCCCTCCAACACCCCAGGATATCTGGTAACTTGGGCATGTGGTTTTCTTGATGCCATTTATCAGAGTATCGTATAACTATTTCCCTCTTGTCTTCATAGTTTTGTGAAGTAAGGATCCATAGCACTTGATGGATCCATGATCTCTAAGCTAGCATTGTCTCTATCCCTAGGCAATGAATTGACATGTTTGAAGAAAGGCACAGATGATGGAATCAGTTTAGCTCACAAGACATGTGACCACACTTAGAACAAATTGTAATAGTGAAAGATCTTCTACATGCCTTAGGTAACAGGTATGGACAAAATAGACTAGATTCACAAACATTTCAGGGGGAATGCTAGTTAGAGGTGGTGCTACTTTAGTTCTTGAAGATAAAGGACAAAAACAACTCCAGTATTTCCAGCTTGAGTGACTGGAGATAAAGTCATACTACCGACTAGCACAGCAGATGGAGAGAGAGGAATGCATAGTTTAATTCATTCTGGAATATTCAAATAGAAATGCCCCAAAATGATTAGAGCTATGCACTAGAAGTTAGAAGTCATAATTGTATGCTGTTACAGTCATGTTACAATTATACATGAAAAAGCCTGTCAAATGCCTTCTAGAATAACTTTTTGCTATAAGCTACTGATTAAAAGGGAGAGAAAGCATCAAGAAGTAACTAGAAAAGGCATATTTAAATAGCCATTTACTTGAGAAAGGTCGCTGAGGCTCAGAAGTGAAGAAACCTTAACTGGTTAAAGAGAGACACAAATGGATGGTAAGGTTTTATCATAAATAAGTTTCAATAATTGTTAGCTCATCTTAAAAGTCATGTCCCCATGACGACTTTCTACCAGTTACTTGTTCCAGCTCGGAATACTGAATAATAAAGCTAGGTGCTTTTAATTATGGAATTCTTAACTGCATCTTCTATCCTTAACTTATCCAGCTATAGTATGAATGATAAATTGGAATAAAAAAGTTTAGTAGACAGGGGCTGGGAAGGTGGCTCAGTGGTAGAGCGCTTGCCTTGCATGCTCGAGGCCCTGGGTTAGATTCCTCAGCACCACATTAGCAAAAAGAAAAAAGCCGGAAGCGGAGCTGTGGCTCAAGAGGTAGAGCGCTAGCCTTGAGCTGAAGAGCTGAGGGACAGCGCCCAGGCCCAGAGTTCAGGCCCCATGATCGGACCCCCCCCAAAAAAAATTTAGTAGACAAAATCACAATGATCAATGTACATATGTGAAAATGGAAACAGGTAACTCTGGGAGATAGGTAGGTTTGATGGTGACTAAGGTGCATGGTACTCATAAGTTGATATGTTGAATTGAAGCCTCTTTGTATGACTATTTAAATAAAATAATACTTATAATGTGAAAGAAGAAAATGAAAAAAAAGAAAGGAAGGAAGGCAGAAAGGCAGGTAGATAGGAAGGAAAGAAGGATGGGAGGGAGGAGGGAGGAAAGGAAGGCAGGTAGGCAGGCAGGGATGAAGGAAGGAAGGAAGGAGGAAGGAAGGAAGGAAAGAAGGAAGGAAGGAAGGAAGGAAAGAAGGAAGGAAGGAAGGAAGGAAGGAAGGAAGATTGGTAGGTGGGAGGGAGAGAAAGAGGAAAGGAAGGTGGGTGGGAGGAAGGGAGGGAAGGAAGGAAAAGAAAGAAAGGAGGGAAGGAAAGAAGAAAGAAATGAAGGGAGGAAGGAAGGAAGGGAAGAATGAAGGAAGGAAAGAAGGAAGCTTTGGTTGGAAATTGGTGGGACATTAGTTCAAGGTGCCTATTTTGAATCTTGCTAGTCAAGATGAATCATGTAACTCATGGATTACTTAAACTAAATTAGACAGTACTGTGCACAGGTTTATGCCACTGATCTTACAGTCAGGAAGACCTGGATTGTAATTTTCTGGCTCTGTTGTTAATTATTTGTATTATCTTGGGCAAGTCACTTACGCTTTCTTATCTCTCCAAGTGGGTTAGTAAGAACACTTACCTGTCAGGGCTATGGTGAAGATGAAATACAGCCATGTAAGTAGGGCCCTTTGTTTATTTCCTGACACACAGCACGTATCATTTAGTATATAGGAGCTTCCAGGCTCTGTTGATGCTGTTCGTTCTGGGAAAATGCCACGCACTTAGTACTAAGTGCAACTAGCTCTGTACTATACTGCGTCGATGCGGGGCTCAGTCCTCACCTGATGAGCTTGCTGCAAGAGCTCCATTCTCTCCTGGAGAATCTGACAGTCATACTCTCTGCTCTTCCTCAGCATTTGCCGCCGTAACTTCTCTACTGCCGTCCTCAGCTCCTCTTGCTGTTTTTCACTTAACAATTCACCAAACTTGATAACAGTTTCTTGCTGCAGAGCATTGTACAAAGTAGCTTCTAGTTCCTGGATTCTCTGGCAAATAGAATTAGAAAAGTCTAACTTTGGGACTGAGCATTTGTGTGTTGTATGGGGAGGTGGCGTGTGTGGGTGTGCATGGGCTTGGATACAGTGTCTCACAGGGTCTGAGCGATGGAGGGGATTTCAATACTGCCCATGCTTTATGAGATTCCATAAATGTTATCTAGACAACACATGAACTGCTCTAGTGAGGAAAATATGTTCAAATTCTTGGGATCCTGTCCATTTCCTACACATTTTTTTGCCTTTAGAAAGCTTTTTTGTTACAATTACTCTATTTTTTTTTTCACATGCAACTGAGAATAGTTTGTTTTCTCGTTCGCTTGGCAGCCCTGAGGCTACTGGAAAGCATTCATCATGGTGGTCATACTTTTCAAGCTAAATGATCTAAGTTGGAACAAAATACTTAAATCTGGAGATGTAATTCATGCATAAAATATCAGTTATTTTCTTTCTAATAGTCTTTTGTACTTGGAGATGGTTTTATGGCCTTTATGTTTTTTTTCTTGAAATAGCTATTGAGAAATATGATCCTTGGGGATGGTTCAATTTTTAATATGCTGCTACTTCTAGTTGCTCTAGCTCTAACATTGCTAGATCAATAATGTTTTTGGATAAAAGGCAGGGTCTATTGTCTCTTAAATCTCAATGGTAGGGTTTTTTTCTTCAGATAGACCTACTAAAATTTATAATCATATCCCTTATAGTTTTGATAGCAGGGACTGAGCATGTTCTGGTAAGGGTACTCTCCTGGGTTTTGGTCAGGACTCTGCACATTTCATCTTTAAGGTAGAATATGGTTTTCTGATTGAGAATTCAATAGTTTTGGAGACCACAGACACACATAGCTTAATTCTACTATTCTCCCATTTATAGGCTGGAGAAACAGAGGTAAGTTGATGGGAAGAGGGAAGTGATGAATTCATTACTTCCCTCATCAAACAATTCTAGAAGCTCTTATTCATGTAAGAGGTGGAAGAATAATTGATCTTGTTCTAAGGATGGACTAAGGGTTTCACACTTGTTTTTCCCAAAGACCCAGGTTGCTTCCAGGAAAGCATTATAAAAACCTCTGCTAACAACTTCTAACTTCCATAAAATATTCCTTCAGAGTGTTCTTTTTTTTTTGATTCATTACTATGAATTGTTGGGGGTGGGAATAAGGAGAGAAGAACTACAAGCTGTTGTCCATATTATGAATCAACATAATACGTAGGAAAGGACAAAGCAGAGTTTACTGGTCAGCTTGACTTCCCTCTCTGGGGCCTGCAGTAGTTAGGCCCACAGTTTCTAAAGGCAGATTTATACAACACTCATACAAACCTGAGTCAAATTCATACTTACTTTCTTTGTATGTAAGACAAAATATTATTACTCATGCTTTAAAGGTTACTAGGAGAAATAAATAAGCTAACATTACATTATTATGGAACATCCAGATTGACTTCCAAATAACTGGATTTGACTTGATAAAATCTTTAGACTCTCCCATCATGCAGTGTATCTTTCATCGAATTATTATTTAATAATGTGCATTCAATTTTAAACAATTAAGTATGATTATTATAAGATGATGGCAGCAAAGAGCTAGGGATATTTCTGTTCTAAAATTAGAACTAGAAGTCAATAAACAAATGAGCTACATGCTTTGGTCTACTCAAATGCATAACATGACAAATTTAATAGGATGCTTGAGTCCACAGACTCTAATTATAAACACTGAAGGTTATCTTTGTTGCTTGTACCTACCATATATGCTTGATCAAGAGCTTGTTTTCTATAGTCTAGTTCTTCCTCCAAATAGCCTTTTATTTTGCAGAATTGTTCCTACAATATTGATAAATAGAAAGAGCAGTTAACTACAGAGCAATACACGAATTGTACTGATTAATTTTCGTGTAATTCCAACATATGACAAATCACTAGTATTTGTAGAATCATAGATTTTTTTTTGTTTGTTAGGGAAGTAGTTCACCTTTCTCACCCAGTCTCACCCAGGGAATATGAAAATCAATAGAATGAAATAAAAGATGTAATGAAAAATCTATGTGCAATGCCCTTAAAGATTTTTATGCCAGCTCGAGAGGATGATATGATTAAGTACACATTTTGACAAGATGAGTGCTAAACCATAAATCTGTGTGGGTAAGCACAGATGTTGGCTCTCTGTTTCTAATGCACCTGTACCTGGGGACTCAACCAACTATAGAGTGAAAAATACTTGAAAAAAAGATACCTGTATTAAACATAAGGAGACATTTTTATTTTGATTGTTTCTTATAAAGATACAGTGGAACGGCTTCTGTATTATATTGACAAACATTGACACAGTACAAGGCATTCTACACAGACTTCCATCCACCATTTCTGTGGCTTTTACTTTATACTATTATTTATCAAATGATTTTACAAAACTCTTTCTGAGTTGATTACGCCCTCAGAAAGGAAACACCTAATTCAATTTCCTTGAGTTTTGGAAACAGCAAAGGATAACACGATTGGGGGGAAATGTGAATTGCAATGGTGAGCTACTGCTGGGCATTGTATCCCATAACCTGTAAGCTGTGCTGACATGTGGCCAACAACCTTTCATAAAGCGGGTAGAAGCAAGTTCCATCTGCCTCATTCATTTCCTTCATTTTCACCACCTCTCATCTTTATACTCACCATGTCACTTTCCAGTTCTATCATTTTCTGGTGCAAGGCAGCCTCGGCGCCTTCGATCTGCTGGATCCACTAGGGGGCAGAAGAGACAAACACACCTGTCATGATGGTTGGCTGTAGCTTTTTTTCTCTGAGTGCCTGACTCCTCGCTTCCATCTGAGAAAGCAGGCTGAGAACTGAGGTGAAAATGTACCGCAGTTTTGTTTCCTACTTCAGATACCAGGCATCAGTAATTCAGCAAATTCATTCATTGACATCTAGCATGCTAGGCATTGTGCTAGGTAAGTACCAGGGCTGCAATGGTTAACCATCCAGCCAGTATTTATCCAGTTGGAGAACCCTATGAGATGCTTTCTTAGAAACAGAAGTTGCACTGAAGTCTGAAGGAAGAGGGAGACATGTTTGGGAACAGAAGGAAAAGGAAAATTCCAAGCAGAAGAGACATCATGTCTAATAGCTTCAGGCTGTAGGAAACACAGTATATAAAAACGACTACAACAAAGAGGTGAATTATTTTAAGTGGAATTATTTTAAATAAGTTGCATAAAATGAACTTATCTTTTCTAATACTCAGAAGTTAAATCTTGTTTCATGATATTTATTTTAGATTAGATAGCACACTCTGAATAATTTAGTCTTTCAGTAATACGGTATGAACCTACTATATATATATTAGTTTAATGGAACAATTTATTATAGTGAGTCCTTATCAAGTTAGCTATCAGCTTATACCTTTGAAGGGAATTAGGTATAATGATTAAATATATAGGCTCAAGAAAGAGACCATGTTGGCTCTAGTTTAATTCTAGTTTTTCATGGATGTGTGGCCTTGAAAGGTGGCCTGATTGGATCTCAAAATTATTATCTGTATTTGCCAGTATTAAATAATACATACAATTAATTAATGTTAACATTAATCATTAAAATGAATTACTAACATGTGATAATAATATTAATATTGAATATTTAATACTATTAGTAGTATTAAAAGCAGAAATCCATGTGAACCATCATTCATTTGTTTTTTTCACATGTTAGTCTACCCCACTACCAGGTATTTCTTTTTAGCCTGTGATGATCTCTGTGTTGCACTGAGCATTTCTATACACTATTTATCAAGAGGTATCATGTCTGTCCATTGGAATCCTGGTAGAAGGAAAAGGCATGTCAGGATAAGAGAGGTGCAAGTTTCTCAGCCTTTCACACATGTATATAGTTTCCTCTTGAGAAAATCTCAACCAAAGCCATAGTTTCTTGTATGTTGTCAAGTTTTACTAAAACTCAACGTCTTGCTGCTACCCATTTATCACTGAGAAATAACTTCTTTTATAACTCCTTACTGTTTATTATCCAGAACAAGTAACCGAATATCTTCAGCATTAGGGTCCTGATCTGTAAAATGAAGAATTGGCCCTGGTGTGGTGAAGAACAATGAGCTGATGGGTGTCCAATGGCCACTATCATATATTAAATGTTTTCTCAGTTAATATTATTGCTATTTTTATTTTTTGTGCCAGTCCTGAGGCTTGAACTAAGTGCCTAGGGACTGTCCCTGACATTTTTTTTTTTTTTTTGCTCAAGGCTAGTCCTCTACAACTTAAAGCTTATGACTTTTTTTTTTTTTTTTTTTGCTGGTTAATTGTAAATAAGATTCTCATAGACTGGACTGGGTGGGATTTGAACCTTTATCCTGAGATCTCAGCCTTATGGGTAGCTAGGACTGCAGGCAGTAGCCAACAGTGCCTAGCCATTGTTATTATTTTAATACAAAGACACAAGAGTAGTTCTTCACTGCAATTTTATCTAGGTGTAACCTTTGATTAAAGATCATACTCCCATCAAATGAATGTTATTCAAATCTGTAACATCAGAAAATCCAAGGGTAGCATTTGTTTATATTAATTGGGAGTAGAAACTTACCTGTGCCCCCTCAGATTGGGAAGTGACATTAATCTGAGTTGCAAAGGTCAGCACAAAAAGCAATCTCACAAGTTACCCATAATGTTTCAGGGGAGGCTCGTGTCTTATGTATTTGGCCCCTCATTCTCTACCACAATGCTAAGCAGGTAGCCATCACTGTTTTATCAAGTAAACCTGCCAGCTCAGTGAAGGTGTGGCTGAAGTGGTAGAGAACTAGCCTTGAGCAGAAAAAAAAAACAAAATAAAGAAACAAAAAACAAGCAAGGGCACAAGGCTCTGAGTTTGCCCAATACCTGAATACACACACACACACACACACACACACACACACACACACACACACACACACATTCAATCAATTCAATTGAACCTGAATTGACATTGTTTTGCAAAAGAAATTATTATTATTATTATTCTTAGTAGTAGTAGTAGTAGTAGTAGTAGTAGTCCATCATAGGGCTTGAACTCAGAGCCTGGGCACTGTCCTTGAGCTTTTGTGCTCAAGGCTAGTGTTTTTCACTGTCAGCCACAGTTCCATTTCTGATTTTCTGGTGGTTAATTGGAGATAAGAGACTCACAGTCTTTCCTGCCTGGGCTGTCTTTGAACCATTATCCTTAGATCTCAGCCTTCTGAGTGGCTAGGATTACAGGTGTGAGCCACCATCGCCTGACTAAAAGAAGTTATTCTTAAGCTAATAATTCACCACAGCACTGATGGCCTACCTTCTCTGTGTTGTGTATACCCTGCTTCTTGTTCTCATGGAATGCTTGAGAGAAGAGTAGTACAACAGTATAGACTGTGGGCTTTGGGTCGACACTAGAACTCCATCAATTTCCAGCTGTGTGACCTTTATCTTTGGCAATTACTTCTCTAGGACCAGATTCAGTACTTAGAACAGTGTACAGCTTAAAGAAAATGGGTATACATGTTCATGATGATTCAAACTATTCTGTATCACGCTCTCACAGGGTACGGACTGATCCAGATGGATGAATCTAAGTAAATGTGAAGCACACAAAGTTATTTTCCCTCTCATTCACTTCCTTAGTCTGCCCAATGAAGAGACTCATCCAGGTTTCCTTCATAGCCTTAAGCCACATCCAACAACCGCAGACTCTCCTTGACTCCCACTGAGCTACTCAGGCCATCAGTGCTAAGTAAACATCCAACACTGAGTTACAGGTTGTGTGGTCTTTGGTTCTAAGACTGCTTTGTATGACTGAATTGCTGTCAATTACTTCAGCAGTAAACATTTACAGATCATTTACTATACATGCTGCTTTGCTGAAAACCTAGTGGGCAAAGAGGAGAAGGAACACATATCCTGTTCACCCTCGTGGTGGTTGGAGGTCATTGGGCAATGTGGGAGAGGGACAAAAGTGAATGGGAAGTTGAGCACGACAGTTACAATCCAACCCTGTGGCCCAATGGGAGGTTCACAACCATTGTTGTAATCCATGAGGAAGAGCACCGAGAAAGAACACTTGCTTCACTGGGCTTGGCTGCCTAACTGGGAAGACTTCTCTCCATATATCGGGCCATTGATGATTAAGAGTTAGCCAGGCAGAGATAGAAAGAGAAGATGAAAGCATCTTCCAGGTAAAGAGAATACAGCAAAGGATGAAGAGATGGAGGTAGGTGTAAGAGAAATAATAGAGACAAAGGGACAGAGAGAAAAGTTGCTGGAAGAAGAATAGGAGGACAAGGAGAAGGAGGAGGAAGTGAGGTTGGAGAGGAGGAAGAAAAAGAGAAGGAGAAGGAGGAGGAGGAGAAGGAAGGAGGGAAAGAGGGAGGGACAGGCTAAATCAGAATCCCCATGAGTTTTCTTGCTAAAGCATAGATTCTGTGTCTTCTGTTAAGAACAATGTGGTATTATTAATTTTCTGGGGAGAGATGGGGGAAGTGAGCAGATATATAAATAAATTAGGAAGGAGGAAGGTTCTAAAAGAGCAAATCCTACCTTTTATATCATTTCAAATGTAAAACACTTCACTATGCATTTCAAACAGAAAAGGCTTTTCTTTAAAAAAGAAAAATAAATACAAATGAAACAAAAATTTCCCATACCTACAAGGCCCTTTCACCCTCTGCAGAGTTAATTATGAATTTCTTTTGCCACTTAATACCTGGCCTATATTACAATTTTGTAACTGGTCAGAAAAAACATGCTTTATCAAAACAACAATCTTATTTAAATCAGTTTCCACAAATGGGGATTATGTCAATATTTCTTAACTATTTTTTAATTTTATAGTAACTTCTTTCTTGCTTTATTCTCCCAATCCTTATTTTAAGTAACATAAATAGTTATTTTATTCCAAATAACTCATTATTTTGAGTAACATAATTGATATATAATCTGTAAAATTCCCCCTTTTCAATTGGAGAAAGTTATCTATTTCCTTATGGTTTCATTTAATTTCCAAGAAGATTGTTATGCATTTTTTGAATTAAGAAAGCATATGTACAGTACAGCTCATTTTGTCCAAGCATGTGTGCATGACTCTCAGCTATAAGCCAAGCTGATCGATGTCCAGGCATCTAGAGTATAACCTCCATGTGGCTTTCTTCTTCTGTATTGCCAATTACCAGGTTTAGACACAGGGGGGCGATAGCATATCAGGCTTGCTTTTCTCTTGACAATCTCTAGGTTGGGATTTTTAGTAAACTGGAGGGAAGCCACCTCCAAAATACAAAATCAGTGAGGAACAAAAGGCAAGTAGACACAAAGGGAATGTTTCTGACATGAGCAACACGCTAGCTCATCATTTCTCAACAAAACCCTACTTCACTGCCTAACTTGGTGAGAAGGTTTCCTGTTTTATAAAGAATATATAAAAAATATATGTTTTATAAGGACCTCCAAGGTAAAAATTATTTCACCTTCACCAAGTCCATTTCTGGACTTTTCTCTGTCCATGATCTCATTTATTTGGGATGGATCACACTTCTTATATATTCAGTAATTCAAGGTCATGTGTAAAGCAAATCTTCATAACCTGCCCTGTTCTTTGCTGGGAAGTTAGACATGAGAAAATCGATTGTTAGTGTGATTGATTACCTTCTCTGCAAGGGATAACACAGTGCTGGCCTGAATGATTGCCACTTGTTCTTCATTTCTCAAATTCTGTGAAAATTAAAAAATAGGAAGGTAATAAGCTAAAGATACTGAAGATATTTGTAACATAGAAAAAAAAAAAAGCCTGTGCTACAGATTCTGCTATATTGTATGCATTCAACCTCCACTAATTCATCTTCTATTTATTAATCACTTCTGACAGAGCTAATGTTAAACCCGAAAACGGCATATAAAGGGTAATTCTTTTGACATCTCACTAACACTTGATTTTGTGTTACCATCAGCCATACTGCATTAATAATCCAATTATGAGAAAATCAGAAGAGAATGAAATTTAAAAAATCTCTTCATAGATGTTTTGATGTGATTTCACTGATCCTGTTCTCTCATTTGATGACTTTTCACAGGAAAAAATTAGTGACTACTTCAACCTGCCAGTATCATTCACCTAGTGTCACAAGGAACAGTCCTTCCCCAGAATTAATAGGCCTTGACCTATGTGGAAGGAGGTTTATTGAGGAAAGTGATTATAGCTCTCTGCTCCATTTTTATGGGGCTGCCAACAACCCTAGTATTTAGGAGCATCTGCAACTGTCTGGCTGATTAATTTTACACTGGATGCCCCTGAGCAAGTGAGACAATAATTAGCTTTAATCACTACAGATGTAATCTGCATTCAAATCTGAAACCTAGCCATGAAAAACACTGTACGGAGTCCATTCTGCATCTACATTCCAGAGGGTCTGGAACTGCCTTGGCTACATTGTATGATAAATGGGTAGATTCTTTCTAGGAAGCCACATGGTTAGGTGACTTACGGCAATTCACTTGCTAATATGCTACACAGGATTCACTAATAAGCATTTCTTACCTATGTTTAGTAAATCCACATCTTACCCATACTTAATCCCTACTTACCCCATTATCACCCAAGATGTCAAGCTGCTTTATGAGATCTGGGATGTTCACATCCTGCAAAATTAAGGAGATGAATTCAAGCCAGATATAAATGTGGCCTTCCATTCTACCAGTGCTAGAATACTCAGAGAAGACTTTTTAAGGTCTTGTCCTTCTATGGGCTGTTTTCAGTTAGCTACATCTAGTTTTTAAATTCCCTTTCTTTTTCCTCCAAGCTGTGTGAACTTGGAATGTGACTCCATAGTTCTTTCTCAAGTCCTTTAGTTGGAAAATGGAGATAGTAAATATCTATTGATTGAATAGAGTGCTGTGGACAATAAAGAAAGAAAGTGTGTGAAAGAATCTAGAAGAGACTTGGAGTATGGCCATATAATTCCCCATATACTTGCTTTTTTAAAAAAAAAATCTTGGTATTGGGGATTTGAACTCAGGGCCTCATTCTCTCACTTGGCTTTTCCCACTAAGGGTGGTGCTCTGACACTTGAGCCACACCTCTACTTACATTTTTTTTTCAATTATGATAGATTCCAGGTATAAGGAAGGGTAAACAATCAACCAATGTTGTTCTAATTAGGGGAATTTTACTATGGTTAAATTTTGACTACCTTATAGAAAATTATACTGCAAGTCTGTTTTGCTGGATAGCATTAATTTCATTGTATGGTATGTTTTCATCATAGTCCTTGAATATGCTTAAAGCAGCTGGAATCCATTTGAAACAGGTCTTTAAATATGCCATATCCATTGGATTAGGTTATTAGTTATGTAAGAAAATAAAAACATCTAAGGAAAAAATAGACAATTTTAACATTTTTCATGTAGCGCAGAAAGGCCAGAAGTTGAAACACCATGAAAACAGCTTTCCATGAATGACAAGCAAGCACAGTTTTACCATCAAATTTCCCTTCTAGCTTCTTAGCTCATAGGTTAAGATCTTTTTTCTTGCTTAAGTCTAAACAAAAGCACAGTGGACCCTACCAAAGAAGGGGAAGTCTAGCTTTCTATCTCAGCAAGAGAGAAGTCAACAGAAGCAGGTAGAGCTAGTAGCTGAGTGGAAGCAGGAAGGGTCATGGAGAGGTAAAGGAGAGAACAGGAATAGCAGGATAAATCAAAGATCATAATGTGATTTCATTACATTGGAGGATGGCATATTTTCTGGAAAGCAGAGCCACCTTGATCTAAGCTTAATATTTCTAATAGATACCAGTAGCACAAAAGGTAAAATTCTAACAAGCAACAAGTTATAATCCCGGATTCCTTTTGAAGAGAAAAAAAATCCTCCCTAAATTAATCTCGTTAGAAGAGATAGTGAATTAGATGACTTCAAATAGTGAATTAGATGACTTCAAAGGTCCCTGTTGTCTCCTGTGATAGTGAAATTCATAGGCCCACCAAGTATCCAAGAGAACTCAGCAAATGCATTTTAATCTTGAAGCCTTGAAATATGCTTCCTATTTCCCCGAAGTAATGAAGGCTAATTTTCTTAAATATTTTTGTTGTACACCATTCTTTCTGTGGCAGTTATAAATGATTATGACTGCTTGTAATCTTCATCGTTATTGTTCATACATCTGCCACATATTTTTTATGTTCTATTGACTTTTTGATACATGTGATCATCTTCTGTTTCTACATGGTTTGTATCCAAATGGAAGACAATGAAATAAAAAGACAAGACAGTCATTAACAACCTCCCGTACCACCTCCTCCACTTTTCCATTCCCCAGCATTTCTAATTTCTGAAAAAATAGAAGCCTTGATGATGTCTGCATACCTTGACCCCTTCTTTCATACAGTAGATCTGTAGAGCACTCACACCATCTGAGAATGGGTGGATTTGTAGATTAAATGGAGGAGATCGCCTCTCTCTCTCCTTGGAATACAGTCAAGAATACATGAGAATTGAAAAAAAAGAAAGAAAGAACAGATTCATCATTAAATCATTGGTCTCTGTGCAATTTCAGCAGCTTATCAAATGCGATTTGGCCGAAATATTTAAACTCTGGATAGTTCATACTTAAATTGAATTAGAAAAAACTGACTAGTCAGCCAAGAAATATGGGAGAAAAATTTATAGATGGTATCACCCGTTCAATGTTTTCAGAGCAGAGAAATGTGGAAAGTGGAATTCCAGCGTAGACTCTCTGAATTTTGAGAACTTCCAGGAATTACTGCGTGGTATTACAGTGGTGTTTTATGATAGCATACAGCCTCTTGCATATTCTACCTACTGAGCAATGTCTATAGACTACAAAAGATGGGTTATTCTTTACCAACTCATACGAACTTCTATTTTTTTTCCAAGACCTAATTTGAAATAACCTCAAGAAAAAATTGCTGTGAACACCATACAGGAAATTTTCTTATATCCTTACCTGTCAACATAGGTTCAACTAGATCTTAAGACAGATTTTATATGATACAGTCATGTAAATATATTCTAATTTGATATATATGTTTTACTTTTTTTAATTGTGAAAATACTGTACAGAGGGGTTACAATTACATGGGCAAGATAATTAGTACATTTCTTATCATTGTAGCCTCCTCCTTTGTTTCCCCTTCCCATCCCTTCCCATCTTCTCCCACCCAATCCTCCTCGCCCCACCCCACCAAAGTTGTAAAGTTCATTTTCGACATAACGACTTGTACATCATTGTTGCAATGGGTCCACCTGTATCCCTATTTAAACAATACATATTTTATTTAAAAAACAAAACCCCAGAAAAAAAAAACACCTAAAAGTTTGCCTGAGTAATCAAGGTCTGTCCTAAAAGAAGCTATTTTGCTTAGCCTTCTTTTGCATAAATACATTATGAACTAAGACGTTTACTTATAAATTCAATTTTACTGCTAAAATGCTTGAGCATATTTTAAAATATCATTCTGGAAGTTACTTCAATGAGTCAAAATTCAAGGAAAGATTCACATTGCTTAAAGACAATGATATGATGGTTTGAATTTATTACTTCAATTATTTAAAAAAACATTCATCAACATTGTCTATTAAGATAGAAATGTTTGGATATCAGAGTCTCTGAGCAGGCTCTTCCAAGTTCTTTTTTTTTTGGGGGGGGGGGGGTCCGGTCATGGGGCCTGAACTCTGGGCCTGGGCGCTGTCCCTCAGCTCTTCAGCTCAAGGCTAGTGCTCTACCACTTGAGCCACAGCACCACTTCTGGATTTTTTCTTTTTGCTTATGTGGTGCTGAGGAATCAAACCCAGGGCCTCAGGCATTCAAGGCAAGCGCTCGACCACTGAGCCACCTTCCAAGCCCCGCTCTTCTGAGATCTAAGAGGGCTTTAGCACTTTCTAGACATGGGACTGGGGCAAACTGTTCAATCTCAGTTGTCTCATCTATAAAATCTGTGGCATTAAAGCTGGTTCAATATACGCAAATCAATTAATATTATTCATCACATCAACAGGAGCAAGAATAAGAACGACATGGTTATCTCAATAGATGCAGAGAAAGCATTCGACAAGATCCAACACCCCCTTTTTTTTGGGGGGGGGGGGTCTGGTCGTGGGGCCTGAACTCTGGGCCTGGGCGCTGTCCCTCAGCTCTTCAGCTCAAGGCTAGCGCGCTACCACTTGAGCCACAGTACCACTTCCGGCTTTTTTTTTCTTTTTGCTTATGTGGTGCTGAGGAATCGAACCCAGGGCCTCATACATGCAAGGCAAGCACTCTACCATTGAGCCACCTTCCCCGCCCCCCAACACCCCTTTATGATGAAGGTTTTGGAAAAATTAAGAATCCACGGAACATTCCTCAATACAATAAAGGCTGTATATGACAAACCTACAGCCAGCATTATACTTAATGGTGAAAAACTAAAGCCATTTCCTCTTGACTCAGGAACAAGACAATGATGCCCACTCTCTCCACTTCTCTTCAATCTAGTATTAGAATGCCTAGCTACAGCAATAAGACAAGATGCAGACATAAAGGGGATCCAAATAGGGAAAGAAGAAATAAAACTCTCCCTCTTTGCAGACGACATGATCTTGTATTTAAAGAATCCCATAGACTCCACTCCCAAATTACTCAAGCTGATTCAAAACTTTGGCAAAGTAGCAGGGTATAAAATTAAACCCCCAAAATCAATGGCTTTTCTGTATGCGAACAATGAGGAAAGTGTGGCTGAAATTAGGAAAGCAACTCCATTTGTAATAGCCCCACAAAAAATAAAATACCTAGGAATTAACTTAACCAAAGAAGTGAAGGACCTCTATGATGAAAACTTTAAAATCTTGAAAAAGGAAATCAACACAGAACTTAAAAAATGGCAAAACCTCCCATGCTCCTGGATTGGAAAGATTAACATCGTGAAAATGGCAATACTTCCCAAGGCTATCTACAAATTCAACACAATACCTATCAAAATTCCAAGCTCATTCTTCAAGGAAATAGAAGAGGCAATCCAAAAATTCACATGGAACAATAAAAGACCCCGAATAGCAAAAACGCTCCTCAACGGAAAGAACACTGCTGGAGGAATATCAATACCAAATTTCAAACTCTATTATAAAGCCATAGTAATCAAAACAGCTTGGTATTGGCATAAGAACAGACCTCAGGACCAATGGAATAGAATTGAAAACCCAGAAATGAACCTACAGACCTATAGCCATCTAATCTTCGATAAGGGAGCTAAAACAATAGAATGGAAGAAAGACAGCCTCTTCAGTAAATGGTGCTGGCAAAATTGGTTAACTACTTGTAGAAAACTAAAGCTAGATCCTTATATATCACCCGGCACCAGAATCAACTCCAAATGGATCAAAGACCTCCAAGTCAAAGCAGACACTCTGAAAACATTACAGGATGGAATAGGAGAAAGCCTAGGTCTCCTTGGCTCAGGCCGAAATTTTCTGAATAGAGACCCGGAAACACAACAAATCAAAGAAAGGTTGGACAAATGGGATTGCATGAAGTTGCAGAGCTTCTGCATGGCACAGGACATAGCTAGAAAGATCAATAGAAAGCCCACGGATTGGGAGAAGATCTTTACTAGCCATACAACGGACAAGGGTCTCATATCTAAAATATACTTGGAACTCAAAAACTTAAATCCCTCAACAACAAATCCTCAAAGAAACAACTGCCCAATAAATAAGTGGGCTAAAGACTTAAAGAGAAACTTCTCTGAAGAAGAAAGAAGGATGGCCAATAGACACATGAAGAAATGCTCAACCTCCCTAGCCATAAAAGAAATGCAAATCAAAACAACATTGAGATACCACCTCACTCTAGTTAGAATGGCAAAAATCAAGAACTCTAACAACAACAGATGCTGGAGGGCATGTGGACAGAAGGGAACCTTACTTCATTGTTGGTGGGAGTGTAAACTTGTTCAACCACTTTGGAAAGCAGTATGGAGGTTTCTCAAAAGACTTCACATAGAACTCCCCTATGACCCAGCAATCCCACTTTTGGTCATTTACCCAAATGTTTACAAACAAGACCACACTAAAGCTACCAGCACAACTATGTTTATTGCAGCATTATTTACCATAGCTAAGATCTGGAACCAACCCAGATGCCCCTCAGTAGATGAATAGATCAAGAAAATGTGGTATATATACACAATGGAATTCTATGCCTCCATCAGAAAGAATGACATTGCCCCATTTGTTAGGAAATGGAAAGACTTGGAAAAAATTATATTAAGCGAAGTAAGCCAGGCCCAAAGAAACGTAGGTCCCATGGTTTCCCTTATTTGCAATATCTAGTATATGTATGAGTCAAGTGGAAAAGGTCAGATAATGTGATGTTAGGAAAATGAACCCTTAGATATGTATTTTAAGGTTTTTTTCTTTCATGTATGTGTTTCTAACGCATTTATAAGATTATTTCTTTGTTGCTTTGTATGTCCCTCCCCTACAGTATAACCCCTGCTTTCACTATATTTGATGTCAGTATAATTTGTGGAGGAGATGGGGAAAAACAAGTCGTTTAAGGATACAGGTGGACCTGTTGCAACAATGAGAAGTACAAGTTGTCATGTCCAAAACGAGCTTTACAACGTTGGTACGGGGGTGGGGAGGGTGGGGGGGGGAAGGATTGGGACTTGGGGGGGGAGGGGGGAGGCTGGGAAGGGATGTGAAGGGTAAACAAAGGAGGAGGCTGCAATGCTTGGTAAGAAATGTATGCATTATCCTGCCCATGTAATTGTAACCCCTCTGTACAGTATGTTCACAAATAAAATAAAATAAATGAATAAAGAAAAATAAAATCTGTGGCATTAACTCTGAGTCCAAAAGAGCGTTTGAATATGAAATGCTCAATTCTGCCCCACCCCATCAGGTTCTTAGTGTAAGTTCTGATTTTTTTTTTTTACTTTATTTTATTTTTTTCTGATTCTAGGGCTTGAAGTCAGAGTCCCCTCTCTCTCTTGACTTTTTTTGTTCATGGCTAGCACTCTTTCACTTGAGTGACACTACTAGTCTGACATTTTTGCTGGTTAATTGGAGATGGATTCTCACAAACTTCCTGCCCTGGTTGACTTCACCATCATCATCATCATCACCATCATCATCATCTTCATCATCATCATCATCATCATTATCATCATCACCATCATCATCATCATCATCATCTCCTTACTTCCAGCTCCAGGTTTCGGAATTCCAGTAGCTCATTCTGATCTCTGGCATCCTGTAGTTCCTGCTGTAGTCGATGGTTTTCTGCTTCCTGTTTTTCTATCTAATAAAGAAAACCCTGAAGTTAGGTGAGCATTACAAAAGCAATTGCCACTTTTCAGAACAAGTATGGATACAGTCCATTTACTCAGTGAATAAGTAATTATCTAGACTATGGAAAAGTTACAAAGGACATGTGTAAAAAGTAAGTCTTTGGCTGTTCTTCCAGTTATTTTTCAGTCAAGTTTTTTGACATCACAGAGAAAAATTCTGGAGATGAAGTCTAGGACCCTGCTGACAGTGAATCTGAAATACTCAAAGGACCTGTTGGGGTTCAGACATAACCTAACAGAACAAAATTTAGGAGTTTGTGTAAGGAAAATGGACACCTTTCATTTCTGGGGTTACTTGTCACAGAAATAGTTTTTATTATAAATTGATAACCTATGATTTTTGAAGTGTTTTCATTGTTATTATAAAAGTGATATACAGGGGCTTAGTTAGTTACATGAGTCAAGTAGACAATCTATAATTGTATAATTTTATGGGAGTACAATATGATGCTATAATTTGTGAATATAATATGGCAAAATTAAATAGGTTAATGTACGCACTACTTCAAATACTTAACATTTTTGTGGTTTCTTAGGAACTTTGAACTGCAAGATAACATTTTTACAGCCCAGGCAGGAGAGTACATGAGATTCTTATCTCCAATAAACCACCAGAAAACCTGGAGTGGAGCTGTGGCTCAAGTGGTAGAGTGGTTGCCTTGAGCTGAAGAGCTGAGGGACAGCTCCCAGGCCCAGAGCTCAAGCCCAACAAAAGCAAAAAAAAAATTACAGTAAAAGGTAGCTTTTGTGTACAATTTTTTTACTATAAACAAAACAACTCCCTGCTTTTCTTTTTCTGTAGAAGAAATCCTACACTTCTTCGAGTGCTGAGTTCTAAGATCTTAGGAGAATCCTCCAAATGCCCTCATTCAGAGGTGACACCTCTTCCTTCTGTTTGCTTGTACCTTTATTTATTTATTTATTTTTTTGAGATGATATCTAACTAGGTGGCCAGGCTAACTTTGAACCCCTGGGCTTTACTGACATTTCTGTCTCAGTTTCTCAAGCAGTTGGGACTACCGAGCATGTACTAGATCAATCAGTTCCATAGAACATTCCTATAGGATCTCTAGTACAATATGGTGACAGGGAGAGGTGCGTCAGCTGTGGACAAATGTGTCTCTCCTCTCTGTAAGCAAGATCCAGGTCTGAGTCATCTTTGGCTTTCAATGAGTCAGATAATCATTACAAACTGTAAGAGGCTTTGGTCTTTCTTGGGTGGCTATTACTACATATAGTAACCACTTAAAATCTTGGATATAGACATTCAAACTCAAGGGCTTTCAAACAATAAAACATGGAATGACCCTTACTTTACCAAACACAGATGAAATGTTTAACTTTATTGTCATTTCTGTACTCCGTTTATTCTTAAAAGCCAAAGCTCAAATTTCCATTTCTGGGATCAAGGAAATAAAGGCTAGGAATGTTTTATGCTAAAGAAATGTAATACCATTTACACAGGACATCTGAGACGTGAATAGGACAATAAAGGTGAGGAGATAGTGAGAAATTCTATGACATTGATTAACATAACCACCTCAAGTATTTTCCAGCATAGGTAGTTGTGAAAGCTCTATCTACTCTCAGAAGTTTTGAGAAGGTCACTGTGACTGTAAAGCAGACTTTCCTCCCTAGAATCTTGGCTATTAGGGAGAGATTACTGGTTCTAGTGGTTAATGAAGTAATAATCAGACCATTACAGGCTTCGAAGCACAGACTGGGAATAAGGCTAGTGAAGTTTCTTTATGAGAACCTCTGATCTTTCTGAGACAACCAGCTCTCAATTATTTCTTTAAAAAAATTGGTGCCAGGATTAAAGCTTGAACTCAAGGCCTCAAGTGCTCTTGCTCAGATTTTTTTTTTTTCATTTGTAAAACCAGTTTAAGAATACTTAATCTTCCTTTTTTGATTTTTTTTATTGTGAAAATACTATACAGAGGGGTTACAATTACATGGGCAAGATAATGAGCACATTTCTTATCATTGCTCAGCTTTTTAATTCATACTTGTCTCTACCCCTTCAGCAATGGTTCCAAGTTCCAGATTTTTTTGTTGGTCACATGGAGATAAGAGTTTCTAGAATTTTTCTGTCTGAGCTGACTTTGAATGTCTATCCTTAAATACCACTAGCCTGTCGAGTAACTAGGATCACAGGTATGAATCACTAGCGCCCAACTTCTAGTTAAACTCAGCTCTGTCTAAAATCATATAGAGGACAAGGCTGAATGCCAGCCTCAGGCTGGGCACCATTGGCCTATGCCTGTAACCCTAGCTACTCAGGAGGCTGAGATCTGAGGATCACATTTCAAAGCCAGCCCTGGAAAGTTCCTAAGACTCTTATCCCCAGTTAACTGCCAGAAAACCAGAAGTGGAGCTGTGGCTCAGAGTGAAAGAGTACTAGCTACCTTTGAGCACCAAAGCTCGGGTACAGTGCTCAGGCCTTGAGTTCAAGCCCCACAACCAATCTTCTCCCCTCCTCATTCCCCCACCAAAGAATGCCAGCTTCACCACAATAGAGGGGAGAAAGGCATGAAGTAAGGAGGTCAGGTCTGGCTGGCGCCATATTGGCCACATGGTGGATGGTAGGATCTGGCATCTTGTCTTCATGCTGGGGGAGGAAAACACCCCTGCCTATCCCCTGCCTCCCAGGTGATGGGTGTGCCCAGATCCCTGGAGGCTGGGGCAGGCACCTGGCTGATAGGTTACTGAATCTGTCAGTCCAGTGCCTGGGACTGGGAATTTCCTGAAGATGTACCTCCTATGCCGATCTGTTTAGGCAGACCAGCCTAGCAGCCAGGACGCTATGCCATGTGTGTCTCCATGATCGTGTCCTGTGGCCTGTCTCCTGGCTCATCTCCAGTCATCATGGAGTCCCAATTCAGCTTTCCATTGGAGCTCAATTGGCTTGTTGGTATTGTTCTTGTTATTTCTTTCCTCTTTAGCATGTTTCCTAGCTGTATTATGTGTATTTGCATGCTGCAGGCCTTTGTAACAACTGGCTACCTGCAGCCTGTTAACTGTATAATAAAGATTCTAGTATTCTATATTTTAAAATGTGGCTTCTCGGAAGATTCACCTTACAACAGGCAAACATCTTTTTCTTCTTCTCATACTGACAGGCTATCATGGGCAACTTGTATTACTTGTCAAGGATTTTAAAAATGTATACTGTTAGAAATAATCTTAAATGGGACACTGGTGGCTCATACCTATAATCCTAGCTACTCAGGAGGCTGACATTTTCATCTCTAATTAACCACTGAAAAGTCAGACAAGGAGCTGTGGCTCAAGTGGTAGAGGCCAGCCTTGAGCAGAAAAAGTTACATAAGAGCACAAGCCCCTGAGTTCAAGTTCCAGTACTAGAACACACAAACAAAAAAGAAAGAAGGAAGAAAGAAAGAGAGAGAGAGAAGTTAAGAAAGAGAGAAGGAAAGAGAGATGGAAAGAAAAGGAAAGAAAGAAAGGAAAAAAATAGGAAGGAAGGAAGAAAGGGACAAGAAGAAAAGAATCCTAAAATAACTTCTATTTAAGTAAAAGGAGGATTGACCTCCAGAATGCTTTCCCTTATGCAAATGAGTTTTCAAATTCTATCTCTGTGAAAGATCATACGAGATCATCTTATCTTTCGTTAGAGTTGTAGGAAAAACCATCTTTGAACTTAAAACCATCAAAGATAAGTTTAACTTCGCCCAAATCAAACATTTGTGCTTAGATCATCAAAAATGATAGCGTCTGTAAGATCTAAATCAGGCTCTTGTATTTTGGTTTGGCAGTTAATTTTCTGGACACCCTTTGGCTGTATCTAAAAATTTCCTTCCTTAAACAAACAAACAAACAGTCAAGCTCAACAAAAAGATTAACGATAAAATACTAATGCTAAGTTGAAGCAAGGTCTTAGCATCGTATTCTGACACTCCCTTGAGCAAAAGAACATTGGTAGTGGGGCGCTCTGGCAGGTGGATATGGGGTGCTCTGGCAGGTGGATGAACACATATATACATACAAATGTATATACGTGCAGTGTATATACAACATACGCATGTATCATTGTACAGTGCATATACAGCATATGTGTACGCGGTTAACCGCTCGGTGGGTAGCAGCAGGGTTCACATCCTTTCAAGTCTGCCATGCACACGTGCCACTGTACTGATGGTGATGGTGGAGACGGGATGCGGTGGAGCGCGCAGCAGAGGACAGAGCAGCGTGGAAAAGCCTCCCCTTCCCTGGCCCCTGTGACACTCCTGAGAGCTCCCCCTGCTGCTCCTGGATCTCTCCTCATTTGTTCCTCTGCCCCACTAGCGTGTGGCGCCCAACATACCTTTTCTAAAAGCTCCTGGTTTCTCTTAATGAAAAGTTGTTTATCTTCTACCCAGTGTGAATCCTGTTTGACAAAGAATATCGTGCAGTCAGCATTTCAGAGTGGGAAGCACCTGTGTCCTCACCGCCCTTGGCCAGAGCTGTCTTCTTTCCACCCAGTTGATTTGCCTGGAGGTGGTAACTAGTAAGTGATACAGGACACCCATCCCTGGGCAGATCCTTCTTTAAAGACGGTAGGGCCAAAGTAGCCAGGAAAAATTGAACCCTCTTGTCATTCTCACCCACTAATCTGAATAATCCAGGACCAGCCTTCTGGGGACTCAGAAGTGACCACACAGGCAAAAAGTGAAAAGGGTCAGAATGCACACAGGCTCCATACGTATGAATGGAAACATTTAAAATGCAGAACCATCAATGTAGCATAGAGGCAGAGAATGAAGCTGGGTGGGGGACTCTGTCTTAGCAGTTTGTGACAACTCTAGGCTATTGGTATGGGTTCCTCTCTCTCTCTCTCTCTCTTTCTCTCTCTCTCTCTGTTTCTTGCCCACCTTCATTCACTGCGTTGGCTGGATTTACACTCTAGCCAGAAAAAAGAAACCAAAAACACCAGGGACAGAAATACAGAGTTGCACATTCTGACACAATTTGAGAGAGGTCACTGTGGTTGCGGCCCAAGCCAGGGAAAAGCTAGAGGAAGGTCAGGTTGAGTTCTCTGTCTCTGCAGGAGAGCCAAAACCAAGTGCCTACCTGCCCTTTCTGAGCCAGTGTCGCCTCCAGATCTTCAATTTTGGCTTTATACCTTAGCACCTCTGCTTGGAGTTGTTCTTGAGCCTGGTGAGACCAAAATGCCAAAGCTCAGTAAGTACAACGGTCATTTGATGCATTTTCTTTCTCCCATGTCCCGCCATTACAGGTCTTCAAAAAGCGAGAGAGAAAATAACGAAGCATTTTCTAGGATAAAAGTATCTTTGTAAACTACACGTGATTCCATATGATCTGAATCCTCACTCAAGCTTTCTATGACCTGGCATGCTATGTCATTCCAATGGTCACATCTCCAGTGTCTTTCTACTGGTCATCAGCAGGTCATCCACATGTCTCTGCCTGCAGTAACATACTTATCTCCTAACTTCACATGTCCTGTTTATGATTGGGCACTGCTCACTTTATTTGAATGACTTAACTTTCTGGAAAGTTCTGGCCTATTGTTTTTGTTTTGCTTCTTCAAATTCTATCCATTCTTTTGTTGTGATCTCTATTTAAATCTAAATCCAAGTCCCATTACTTTTGCTGCCCATTCCTATGGTATTAACCATGCCTAATAATACTGAGAATAAGAAACAGAAATACAATACTACAAGGTGGTATACTACAGGTATGTCCCTTTCCAATAATAACTTGCCTGTCTATTCCAAGACAGAATTTTATTTTAAGCATGCTTACTCATGTGCCTATGTTTGCTACCACTTAAAATATACAACTCTATTCTCTATCTTTCCTTTGAAACAACTAACAGAAGCTGCTACATTTCCCAGTAAACTCTATCACTTTCAGAAAGAAAGTCAGGTAGAACTACTGCATAGCTATGCTACCTCTTGCCTCATGTGAGATCCGTAAGGCAGTTATAGCCTGCTTAAAGCAGGTGGCCATGACTCTGAAGTAGAAGGCTAGGATCATACCTTAGCTTTGCAACTTTAGGTTAACATTTTAATTTCATTGATCACATTTCTCTCTTAAGCTATTAATTCTTTTGTAAGTAGGAGATAATAACAGTACCTAATTCACAACCTTATTTAGGATACTTAGATAATAAATGTAAAGTGCTCAGAAACACAATTACAACAGAGAAAGCATACAAGTGTTAAGTATTAGTAGTCTGCCTGCCTGCCTGCCTGCCTGCCTGCCTTCCTTCCTTCCTTTCCTTCCTTCCTTCCTTCCTTCCTTCCTTCCTTCCTTCCTTCCTTCCTTCCTTCCTTCCTTCCTTCCTTCCTTCCTTCCTTCCTTCCTTTCCTTCCTTCCTTCCTTCCTTCCTTCCTTCCTTCCTTCCTTCCTTCCTTCCTTCCTTCCTTCTTTCCTCCCTCCCTCCCTCCCTCCCTCTCTCCCTCCCTCCCTCCCTTCCTTCCTTCCTTCCTTCTTTCCTTCCTTCATTCCTTCTCTCCTTTTTCTCTTTTCCTCCCTCTCTCCTTTCCTCTCCCTCCCTTCTTCTTTCATACCTTTACCCCCTCTTTTCCCCTCTCTCTTCCTTCCTTGTTCATCTTTACTCTTTATTATTTTTTTGCAAATAAGCTTAAAAGGGACAGTTATGACACAATAAAAGGCTTGACCCAGTAAGATTTGAATTCACACCCAAGTCTTGCCATTCCCCAATTGTGCGACCTTGGAGAATTCAATTAACCTTTCTTTTTTCTTTCTTTTCTTCTTCTTTTATAAGATACCTGCTTTAGTGGTCTGTCACGAGGATTAAATAAAATATCCTCTTTGGGAATTCTTGGTCAGTTGACAAATGCAATAAGTACACTATCAACTAGGAAAACAAACTGGCTAGATATTGCTTTTGAAAGGTAGACATTCTTTGTCAAGCAAAAGCAAAAAAAATGGATTATCAAAATCCAGTATTATTTTGCTTTAAAAATGGAAGTTTTTTTTTTTGAGGGTAGGAGTGGGAGGGGGGAAATGGAGAACAAAGGGTAACATTGTATTTATAACCTGACTTATGAAATTGTAATCCCTTTGTACAACATATAATAATTAATAATAATAATAATAATAATATCCTATCACCAAATATGTAAGTTTTCAAATAGTAAGAACACCAAGTATACACGCAGCTTTTTTCTTTTAAAGGAACAAAGGCATTGCTCTGGTTCTAAATGGCTGTAGATCCAAGTTTGTCAACATAAAAGGTAAGAGAGTTCAAAAGCCTCAGAAGGGATAAGTTACAGGGAAAGCTGTCCTACTGACTCTTTTATGCCTATGGAACTTGCATGCTGTGGCCTTGGCAAACGAATCCAGAGCCCTTTCCAGAGGCGCAGGCGCACTAACCTTGGCTTCGCGTTCGGCATCAATGATGCCTCCAGTCTGCTCCTGCAGGAGGGCATATGCTCGCTGGAGGGCCTGATACTCTTTTGTTAGCTGTCGAAATCGTAGCTCAGATTCTTCAGCCGCTAAACTCTGGAGGTCAGAACAGTGATTGTGTTAGGTTGAGTTCTGTGTGCAATGAGAATACTACCATTTGTCTACTTTTTAAGGAAAATGTACGCTGTGTTTGATTTAATGTTGGTTGGTCTTCTTTTTAATTCTGAAGTATAGGTGCAAACACTGAAATATTTCAAGATAGGTATTACAAAACATATGAGCAGTCCTTGCAGTAAAAGAAGTATTTATTTATACATTTCTAATGGCAACTAATTTGGTCAGCCAATGTTAGATCCAAATGAGAGATTACGCCCGGGTTTTTTGTCTAGATTTGAGGCAGTAATACTTAAGAGTTTCGTTCCCATTTCTTTTCAAACTACTTATAGCCACAAATAAATTTATAATTATAATGTGTTCCAAATGAATTATAAAAATGGTTTTATATTTTTCCATCTTATAAAACTCAGGGAATAACACCATCATCAGAAAATTTTTGTCAGAAATTAAATTTAGGTAGTTTACTCTGCATAACAAGGAGGTTAATTGTACACACATTTCTAGAAGAGTTACTTGATCTAGGTGATGTTATTTATCAAGTAGTAGCAGTCAAGTGTGGTCACAAAGTTGGCCTCCATTAGGACCAAGTTGATGACCCCTTTGTGAATCATAAAGGCAATGAAACATGAAATACATTTTTTCCCCTCTCATTTAAAGCAAAGGTTTGAGGACAATGTTCCAAAATGGAGAAATGGAAAATAGAGAAACTTACTTCATCTAAGTCATCATCAGGAGTAGCTGGTGTTCTGTCTGTTCTAAATGAGGCCATGGATGAAGTTTCCGAATCCATGGAATCCTCATCATATCCAATGAATGGGTCCAAAACCGGCCTCTAAACAGAAAGAAATACATATGGTGGACAGCGGACAGTGGAGAGAGCTTACAACCCTGATAATTGACACAAGAGTAGCTGAGCAGATGTGAATTATTCAAGGCTTCTTGGATGAAATAAAAATATTAGACATAGACACAATCATACCAATATGTGTGTCTCCCTCATTCGTTCACTTCTGATGTGGTCAAATATATTTCGTGGGCATGCTAAACTGAAACTCACTTGTAGGTATTTTTTGAAGTGATAATTCAGTAATCAAGATTTGGCAATTCTGGGGGTTGGGGATTTAGCTCAGTCAGTGGAAGAGCACTTGTCTGGCAAGTGCCGGGCCCTGAGTTCAGTCCTCAGCGATGAGACAAACAAACAAACAAAAAGATTTGGCAATTTTCACAAAATCATCATCACGTCTTATATCTTACATTTCCATCATGATGAATTAATGTGGTTTTCTCTTTGTATATTTAAAATGTGCTCAAGTGACTGAAAAATCCAGGCATCTAAATAAAGCGGATTGTCAGATCTTGTCATCCAGTTCTACATCTAAATTAATTGATGTAGTTGAAAAAATAAACACCACAATCAAACTAACAGACAAACTTTACAATGAAGTTTTTGTGGGTTGTGTTTAAAAGATATTGGTGGATGGCGAGAGTCATTATCAAGGGTATATATTAAACAAAGCAAATATAACACTCTTGAGTGAATATATTAATCAAATATAGTGTAGGCATAAGAATTTAACATTCACTAGTAGGAATCAATCAAATCATCTGTATCTCCTGAGTGTTCTTGGAGAGTAACTCTCCAACTTGCCATATAAGTCTTTCTACACTAAACCTGGTAGCTTTGCCATTCAGAGAAATCATATTAATTCAACCCTTTTTAGATTAAAATAAGTAGCATAGTCATTTTACTTGGCAATGTCAATTGGAGAGATTTTTCTTCTAGAAAATAAAGCTCATGGTTACTGCAGATCAGGGACATTTGATTTATCACATTTTTTTCTCCACAAAGGTCCGTTGGCAAGCTTCCCCTCTTCAGCTGATAACCTGATAACCTAGTTTCTTATTACCTTAATGGGCTTGGAGCTTCTTCGATGCTTTCTCCTACGGATGAGTTTTTCTCGGTCCTGGAAAACAGAGGTGGACTTTTCAGATCTAGAGTCGGCTCATTTTTCCTATAGACAATGTGGGTTTCTTTGAGGTATGACATACGTATTTTGGCTCAAATTTTTGTCTTATACTTGAAAACCAAGTCATTCTAAGAACAGACATTTATAGTCTCCCAAAACAGTTTTCCTTTGCTGAGACACAAAAATTACTTTGATTTGTGTTCAGAAAACAAAATGAGATTGCACAATAAAGCACCGTTCATCTCATCTTATCTCTTGTAAGGGGTAGAAAGCTGTCCCTTGACTGTTTCTGCACTCTTGCTTGCATCCTGGGGCAGGAGAAGATGAGACAGAACGCAGAATGACTAGTTGGTTGCAGTCATCTAGTGTTTAACTTTTGTTTTACTTATATCTGGGAGTGGGGGGGATGCTCTGTGAAAATCAAAGAAAAGCTAGAAACACCGAGCAATTTCTTGATCTATTCTTGCTGTGAATGGAGATATTGAGGAAATCTTGGGTTTACTCATTAAGCACCTATATATTAACTCAGCACATGTATGCTAGATGGACTATATCATGAATTAATATGCTTAGAGATCTCAAAATTCTACAGAAACCTGGGGCTTAATCTCAGGGGACTCAAACTCAGCACATTCCTAGACTAGTGAATACTCGAAATGTGTAAGTTATTAAATTTGGAGGTTAGTGAGGGTTCTCTGAGGCTTCAGACTATGTTTCTGAAGTAATTTGGTTAAAGTTTGTAGGTTTTCTGAATGTTTTTTTGTCTTTAGAGGAAAAATATTTTGATTATATGGCCTAAATAGAGCTGAAACTTCTAACAGTGATTTATACCTTATATACTTAGATTGATTACCCTCCTAATCTAGTGTGCTTACATTATAACATATACTCAACTTAAAAACCTTAAAGGATTGAATGAGAAATATTACAAACAAGTTATAATCTTTCCTTTCCTCAATAGTAATAAATCATCTTGCTCACCTACTTTCCAGACTATTGTCTAAGAAAGACCCCTGACACTTTGTAGACTATTATAGACTATTATATAAGACTCTCACCCTACCCTCCATCACTAGTTCTCCTGGCGTGAGAAAAACCAAGGATATCATCATCAGAATGAAGAGGAAGGCAAAGAAGAACAGAGATCTCAGCCTGTGTTACTGCTAACAGACCACAGCCAGATGCAAATGGGAGCAATAAGTACTCTGTCAATCAGCAAATACCCAAGTAACAATCTGAAAACCTGGACTGAAAATCTAGCTTTGTTGCATAATCACGGTGTTGCTGTTATTTAGCAAACATTTGTTAAAATTCATCTGTGTTCTATGTGCTGATGATGAGGTTTTGGTAGACAGGTCTACTACAGTCTTGGTTCTGTTATTATAGGGAAAATATTTAATCTCTGACCCACAAGATCAGATACTCGGAAGCAATTGCAAGATACACACTCTACATTCTTACATAATAATGCATTTGAAAATTTTTCTAAGGTGCATTGCAACCATTATTTGTTATTACATTCATTAGCAAGGGATTATAATTGGAAAAGAGTAAGGCAGTTTGATAATACAAACTATTTTTAAATTACTTAAGAAGTGGGTCTATGGAATTAATCCAAAATCACTAAGTGCTTCCAGTGTATGTTGAGTTTTTGTCCGCTTGACCTTGGGAAACTTTTAGAGTTTACAGAGTTAAGACCTACCCTTGTGAGCTCATCAATAATGTTCTGTTGCTCAATGACCTGAAGTTTTAGAAATTCTGTCTCCTGTTCTTCATTAGCTTGGTCAAGGTCATTTAGAGATTTTAACTTCTTCAAGGGCGGATGGGATGTAATTTTCTCTCTCTGGATTAGAAAAGAAGAAAGTACAGGTAAGACCTTTGAAAATCCTAAACTTCAGTCGTTAATATATTTTTCACAAGTGTATAATGTTAGAGCTAAATTTCAACATTACTCCCCTCATATTCATACTTTACACTTACCCACTAAAGCTCTCACACACCGTTTATCTGCTAAGTGTGTTAAAGCTGTGAGGGAGCTCTACAATTGCTTGAAAATCTCTACAGAGGACATTAACAAACTCCTTGTCCATATTCAATACAAGATAAATATCTCTTTCCCCACTGTTATGTAAGTTCTTAGAAGGCAAGGTAACTGAGCTCCCTAGAGAGTTTCTATGAGGAGACTCTCTAAAGCCTTGCTTCTATTTCCAAGGTTTTAGAGCCCATGCAGATTTCTGGAAGCACTCCTACAGGTCTGCAAATTTAGAAACCTTCTAAAATTCAGAACAGCCACCTTCCTTTGCTTGCTTCTTTAAGGCTCCCTGGCTCCCTTGCTTATATAAGGGTAATTCCAAATAGCACTGTGTTTTTTGTGTGTGTGTTTGAACTCTAGGGCTTCATTTTTCATCCTTCCAATTGTTATTATTATTATTATTATTATTGTGAAAATACCATACAGAGGGGTTACAATTACATGGGCAAGATAGTGAGTACATTTCTTATCAAGCATTGTTACCTCCTCCTTTGTTTCCCCTTACCATCCCTTCCCCTCTCCTCCCCCCCCCCCACCCCTTACCTCTCTCCTTCCCACCCCCCCACCCCACCAAAATTGTAAAGTTCGTTTTTCAACATAATGTCTTGTACATCTCATTGTTGTAATGGGTCCATCTGTATCCCTATTTAAACGATTTGCTTTTTTCCTTTCCCTTCCACAAATTATATCAATATCAAATACAGTGAAAGCAGGGCTTATAGCACTGTGTTTTATAAATAAGCTGAGAAGAAACAATAAGGCAGAACAAAAACTTTCTTTTAAAAGGAAGCTATAGTTTGCCAAGGCTATGAGACTCACCATTTCTGAGTTTTCCTTGGTAACGGCTTTTAGTTTTTCCTCCATACGTTGCAAAGACACCATCAGTTCATCATTTCTCTTGGCGAGGCACTTGTTCCTTTCCAGGAGAGGTTTGCATTGCTTTTCAGTTTCCCGTACTCGTTTTAACTGGGAAGAAAGAAGGTAGAACTTATCTCTTGTACTTGGGTGGAAGAGAGGTAGAAAAAGATGATGACTGGGTGGGGAGATGGCAACCCCAAAGATACCGCTGTCTGCTTCACTCTGTGTCTCAGACCTAACTATTGTCACTCCAGTTCTCCATTTAAAAAGACCCATTGCTTTTTTTGCATTTTCCACTAGTGCTTTTAATCAGAATCCTCAGAACTCCACATCAGTGTAACCTGTAATGGTCTGCAGGATTTGCCTTTTGTGAATGATCAGGAGTCTTAACTCCCTGGCTCTCTGATTTCTCCACCTCAGTCACTCTGTTCTGCTCAGAAAGGCATAGTAGCCCCTCCGAATTCCAAGTCTCTGGGTCTCCAAACTCTGTTCTGTTCTTCAGTGAGCTTGCTGAAGTATAGCAACTCTCAGTAAGGCTGGCTAGCTTAAAGGAAGCTTTATTGAAAAACAACAACAGAAGAAACATGATTTATTTTTGTTTTGTTTTCGTTATAACTTTTTTTTAAACTAATGACTGTGTTTTAATGCTTATTTTTGTTGTTGGTGGTGGTGGTGGTAGGGCTTGAATTCTGGGCCTGGGCACTGCCCCTGAGCCTCTTTGTGCTCAAGGCTAGCGCTTTACCACTTGAGCCACAGCACCACTTCGTTTTCTTTTAGTAGTTTATTGGAGAAAAGAGTCTCCTGGAGACTTTTCTGCCAGAGTTGGCTTTGAACTGTGATCCTCAGATCTCAGCCTCTTGAGTAGCTAGGGTTACAGACGTGAACCATCAGTGCCCAGCATATGATTATGTTTTAAAATATCTATGTCTCATCAAGCTTTTGCAGCTAGACTGTACTGTTACCCATTCATAACTTAGCATGATCATATAATCTCAGCTCACTAATGCTAAGACACATTGTTTCAACCTCAGCATCCTTGACACTTTTGGCCAGGTTTTCTTCAATAGAAAGGTTCTGTTATATGCATTGTAGAATGTTGAGCAGCCTTGCTGCTGTTTGCTCTCTGCTCATTAGAAGCCAGGAACCACTTGCCAAGGGTGGCAACCAAGAATGCCTTCAGGTACTTCCCAGATAGCCTCTAATTAAGGATCACTGGTCTACATTTATGAATATTGGCTTGAGTTAATTTTTCACTGTCCTTCTCTCCCTTTTACTCTCAAACTCTCCTGTCTGGATGATGAATTTTTGGGAACTTTAATGGGTTCCCTGTTACTGTATTCTTCCCATACTAATGACTATGAGTATAGATGTGTACAGGAATGAGATCTTTGTACAGCGGGAAAGGAGAGGTATACCAGAAACATCTAAGAAGAGTTTTTAGGTATTCATTCTCATGATGTAAAAAGTTTATCATTTTGGGAGATGCTAAAGGAATAAACCATTACCAATTAGCATTTGACAAAAACCCACTGCAGTTCCTCAACTTCATCCCAAATTCCATTTGAAAACTCCCATTTTTATATCTAGGGCCAAAACTGGAGTTTGTTTTTATATATAATCTGACCTAATAATCAGAGAGAATTTTCAGTGTCTGAATCATTAATATTAAATGTTAAGTATATACATTATTGTTATTTATCATACCTCATTCTACTGGGTCAATTACTTTAATCTTTATCTTTTTTTCTATAGGTAGGTGATGCGAGTTTTATATTTTTAAGATTACTTTGTGCATATTATTTATAGAAAATGCAGATAAGAACAAAGAAAATATCTATAATTCCAACATGACATGAATCAATAATAAATTCCTATAGCACCTCAAAATGTTATTTTTAAGAGATATCCTCTAAATATAGCAGAGAAAGATGGAAATTAAAGTTCACATATATTTAGTTTAAGTTTGTAAACTTTATAAATGAAATTAATTTTTACATAAAGTTTATATATGAAACTAACATTTATAAGTTAAAGTTTATATAAAGCTTAAATAGGTATATAAAGTTTATATATTGAAATTAAGTTTATAAAGTTTGTATGTGGATGTATATGTATACATAGATAATATATATAGTGTATATATTTAGTGTATATATATGTATATACACTAAATAAAATAAAATAATCTGGCTGAGTGCCAATGGCTCAAGCTTGTAATCCCAGGTACTCAAGTGTCTGAAACCTGGAGAAGCTCAGTTCAAAATTCAGCACAGATAGAAAAGACTGTAAGCCTCATCTCCAATAACCAGGAAATATGCCAGAATGGAGATGTGACTCAAGTGATAGAGCATCAGCTGTGAGAAAGAAAGCAAGAGAGTTTAAATACTCTGTCCACAGAAAAAGAAAACATATCTGATATAAATTCAACTAGTAACAGATAGAATTTAAGACAACAAATCCTACATTGAAGAAAATATTTCATAGTTGACTAATATGCTAAAAACATCCAACAAATATTAATTTCTATGTGCTTATTAACTTCAAATACATATATAAAATACAACAGACAAAACTAAGAGAAATACAGACAAATCTACTGAAAGAACATGCAGAAAAAATATAAATCAGAACAAAGAGTTTCACAAACTTGAGCTACACACTCAGAGAATACACCTTCTTTTCATGTAAACTTGAGGGACATTTCTAAACCTGACCATATGCTAGGACCGTAATGAAATCTCAAGATTCCAAACAAATGAAATACTACAGACTATATTCTCTTGCTCTGGTAGGATTATTGGCATTAAAGAGATAACTTGAAAACCTTCAATGTTTGGAAATCAAACCTTACACTTATAAGTACCATTTCTGTATCAAAGAAGAATCGCATGATGTTAGAAAAGAGTTGGAATAAAATACCATACATTATAACACATCGAAACTTGTAAGATGAGGCTAGAAGAGAAATTATGGCCAAAAATGCACATACTTTTTTTTAAAGGAAAGGCTGAAATAACTCCTTTGTATGAATTACTCCATTAAAAAGGTAAAAATGTTAGCCAGTGAAAATAATATTATATATATGATCTATCTATATTACATATTATTATAATGCATTATGTATCTATGTATATTATATATGAAAAATAATAGCTCACAAGTGATGTTACAAAGCTCTGATATTAATCAAATAAAACACAGCCCAAAAATGGGCAAAAGGCTGAGGACAAATTCTGAGAGATATAAAAAATGCCATAGATACCTGAAAACCACCCAACCTCATTAGAAATGATAAAAAATAGTATCAAGGTAAGAGTACAATTCATAACTAGAAAAAATGGCTGAAATGGAGAATGATCGTTGCAGGCTGTGAAAGATGGGGAGAAATTGCAGTTGTCTACCTTGTTGGTGGGAATGTAAACGGTTATAACTGTATGACACTAATAATTACTAAGACTGATATATACATACTATGTAAACTTTCATTCTAATTCTTTTATGACCATGCTTCTTCACCAAATATTTATAGCTTCACCATTCCTAGCAGCTTCAGTGCTTTAAGAAACAATACAAATATCCCTTAATAATAGCATGAGAACACCTTTTTGATACTGTAACTGAATACTACACAGTAATGAAGAGTGAAGCTGTTCTATATGCAGCACAGTGGATCAATCTCACTAACATAACACTGATTAAAAGGAGCCAAACACAAATGTATAAATATCGCATGACTGACTAAGAAAATCATACCAGGTGCGGTAGCTGTAGGATCATGTCTGTGGTCTCAGCCACCTGGGAGGAGAGTATTGGGAGAATTGTGGTTTGAGATCACTCTAGGCATAAAGAGACCCCTATCTCAACCCATGAAAAGAGAGGTGTACTAGTGTGTGCCTGTTATCCCAGCTATAAAGGAAGTATAATTAGAAGGATTATAATACAGATTGCCCCCATTAGGAAAATTAACAAAGACTAAATAAAAGGACTTGGGAGGTCTGGCTCAAGTGGTAAAGTGTCTGCCTGGCAAACACAAAACCCTGAGTTCAGAACCCCAAATTGCGTGCGTGTGCACACGCACACACAAATATATAGATGTATTTAAATGTTAATAAACATTGTGGTGGTAGAAGTTATACTAGTGATCATGTTAGAAGGATGTGAGTAGTCCCAAGACAGTAAGTACTGATACCTGAATCTTGCATTTATTCATCTGGACTTTGCAAATACTTATTAGGCTGAGCTTTTGCTATTTGTGCATTTTTTGTGTTATACATAAAAGAAAGCAAAACATATATTACGTAGCATAACATACGCCTATAACATAAAGCTTAAGAGCACTAAAAATAGTTTCAGTGTGACTTACCAATTCATTTCGTTCATCTCCAAGCAAGGTATTCCTGTCTTCTAATTTTCTTATAGTGGCATTCAGTTCAGCTATTCTCTTTTGATTTCTTCTCAAGTCCTATATGTGAAAAAGTGGGCATGTTCCAATTATACTTTTCACAGCATTTGGAATACTGCTCACAAATGGAATAAGTTTCCCTCACATGGCCTGTTAAAATATTCTTTCATTCAGGGACGACACATTCTTTCCCTTTCCTAATTCTCAATACTGATCATTGGGGTTGAAGATCAAGCCTGAGTAAGAATGCGAATGAATTCCATGTGTGATCTCTGAGGCCCAGGCTCATGGAGCCAGTAGTGGCAAAGGTTGTATCAGTTTACGAGAGTCGTGTGCAGCGACCAGTGTCACGTGATTACAAGAGGGTAGAGGAACATTCCTTTGTCACAGATGCACACAGCTTTCTTGGGTTAGACACCTTCCTGCTACTGCACTTAGCTGCAGAGGAGAGGGGGTAGGAAGTACAGGTGGGATCTTGTAAATTCTGGAACACTCTTGGAGAAAAAGATCAGCATGAGGAAAGTGCATTGCCTTCAGTTAAAAAGGCTTTACACTAAGATGTTTTGCCCAACACAATTGGCCTATCCACTGCTAGAATTGCCATAAATCCTCTTATATACAGCCATCATGACTTAACTCTACACTGCAGGAGTGTTATTATCATGATCGTAGGCAGGCAATTTTATTTTTCATTGTGATAATGAAAGAGCAGCTTTATCTACATTATATCCTGCAAGTTGCAGTATCCTAGAGGATTCAGCAGAAGGGGTAGAATTCAGAGAAATCACAACTCATTCCAGGTAATGTGGTTCATGTCAACAGACAAAAAATTAGTATATATTGAACATTAACTATATGCCACTTGTGTGCTCAATATTATAGACTAGACTCACACAGTACTACTAAAGTCTTTACTGTATAGAGCTGGAGACAATTAATGACAGATCCAGATCTTTGGCTCTTTCTCTTGGCATCTGTGCCACCCTGTGGTAGGTGTCAGCAAAAGAACTGAGATTTACATTTGCTATATCCTGCATCAATCAGTGTGCTTCCTACCACCTATTGGGGGATACACACACACACACACACACACACACACACACACACACACACACACACACACACACACACACACACACACACATCCTGAAAACCAGTTCATAGAATTATTCATTACTTTGCTCTAAGTAGCGCTTTGGAGTTCATCTCTGTTCCTAAATAATACATTTCATCTTTTTAGCAGCTAAATAATTTGAAGGGTATAAAATGTTATGGCAGATCATATACAAGCTGGCATCTCTAGTAGTACTTCTGAAAATAATTTCTGATACAAATTACGAAAATTCAGGGAAATAAATGGCAACTTCAACCAGACTCGAGGCTTTCCAGCTTTGATGACAAATGGTTGGTTCTCCTAAGCAAGTATATATTTCAAATGTTGCAAATGATAAGAATCTGTACCAATTTTTTAACCCAGTTGTTCGCAGGATAGGAAGTGACCATTCTTGACAAAAGGAAAAACAGTTCCATTTAATTTATGATTCTTAGACTCACATTTGAGTAGTCCTTGTTTGGCTAAGAAACATCTTTGAAGGACTTGAAGAGACCTGCAATTCTCCTGTGAACTACTAATGTAATCCAGACCACTTTCTTGTCTACGAGTTTAGAAACCCCTGCTCCCAAGGTACTGCCTGGCTTTACACTTGGAGGTAGAATTGATTTCTTTGTAGTAAACAGGAAAAGAGCTTAAGTGAAAAGTAAAACTTAGCAGCTAAATAAAAGATGACTCTGAAGTTCTTAACCTCAGTGCAGACAGACTTACCGGGCTGCTGCAGTGCTCAGAGCCGTCTCCAGCCCTTCCTGGAATTTCTCGTTTGGGACTGCTCATGTTGCACTCGGCCTCTTTGACCAGGAAGAGCTGCTCATCCAAGGCCTCCTTCTGCAGTTGGAGTTTCTGTACATAGCCAGTCTGGGTTTCCAGTTCCTTTTCCAGGGAAAAGATGATCCTGTCCTTGGCTTTGATTTCATCCATCTGAATTTAATAAGACCCAAGGAATTTTATTTAGCAAGGCTATCAGGAGGCTAACTTTCACAATGATATGTACTTCTTCTGATTCATGAACATGACAGGTGTATCAAACTCACCACTGAACAACACTGTGTAATGGAAGGCTCTCCTAGGAAAAGAGGCAAGGAGAGACATTGTTTCCATTTTTAGTTTCTATTTTTAGTATAGATGTCTCTAATCAATAATTTGGATGAAATGGTCTGGGTGACTATTGTTAATAAGGATGGAGTCTATATATTTTACCATAAGTTTTCCCAGAACAAATTGCTTATTACCTTTTCTTGTGGGGGGAATGAGCATTTCGAGTTCATTCCAATGACCAGTTACTATTATTAGCTGGCCATTTGTAACTAGTTCCGAGATGCTGGCATTTAAATGGTGAATTTGGAGGAAGGTCCCTTCAAAGGTTCGTATGATAGTGTTCTTTCCATTCTCAGAATTTTTGAGCATCCAGTTGTAAGTAACCATTTTATCATTATTGTCAAAACAGCACAGTTGATACTAGAACAGGACTGGAAAACTCCTGGTAGTATCAGCATCCATTACACCTCCTCTTACATCTGTGCCTATATTCATTGACATCCACACTGATTCGTGTTGAGCCTAAGCATAACATCAAGACACTTCTTAACTCAAGGCCACAGGCATTGTAGACCAAAATTCCACTGAAAACTTTTTGTTGTCTTTGGACAAAGATATAAACTATATTTTGAAGAAAGGATAATCATTGGGTAGAATATTTCTTCTCATCTATTCTATGTGAATATTCTCACCCTAATCTATGTGAATACTCACAACAAAGGTAAGAGAGGACATGAATACAAACCCTGTGCTGTTTTCCTCCATCAACTATTGCCTTCCTCTATTTAATAAGTAACTTTGTATAAATCTTCCTTGTGCTCTTTAGATCAGGAGAAAAGAGGAAAAAAGCATTTGGAATCAAAATTGTGTTAAGATAGTCACATATTCAAAAACAAATTCTTTAGTGATTTATTCTAAGACTCACAATTAAATTTTAGACAAACTTCAGAAGGGCATTGGGTAAAGTCTACATGATCCTGTAGTATCCATCATCTCATAACTAGGTAAGGAATAAGATAGTGCCTTGTTAATTTGGCACAAAAATATCATCTGTATTTTCTGACTTCTTGTTGAATATTTGAGTCCAGTGCTATTTGAATCAGGTTAACACATTCATTTGTCATGTGCAGTGATACTGACAGCTTAATATAGCTTCAGTGCATATTCCTAGCAGGGACTGATGAACTCTATCTACTGAACTTGCTAGGAAACCATTGAATTACCAGTCTAATCATCTTCATTACCATAATGGAAAATGTAAAGCCTTCAATTATAGTTCAAGCACTATAGCAAGATCTTTCTGCATCTTATATCATTTGATAATAATCCTATCCAGTGCACCCTGTTTTCCTCATTTTATTGATGATGACAGAGAACTTGAAAGCTTAAACACCTTTGCCATAGTCACTTGGCTTGTGAATGATAGTGCCTGATCATTAGTTCAGTTTTTTAATTCTAAAGCCTGCTCTGCAAATCCATGTGTCATATTTGCTCCAAGACTACCCACGTTTTTCTACCATTTCCCATAATAGTTTCCTGTGGAATATCTAATAATTAGTACTGAGGAGGCTCAGTACTAATTGTATAGTCATTCTCAGTATGAACTCTCACCTAAAATACTGAAAACTAACCACAGGTCTGTTTCTTAAGGGATATTATACTAGAATTCCCTTTGTTTCCAAAAGTGGATCTCAGTGGCTCTAAGATTGAGTAAGAAGAAAAGAAATACAGTGCATGTGTATTCTTGAAAGAACTACTCATGCTATTATATATTCACCACCACGTTTTTTTTTTTCTTTGGGTCTGGTCATGAGGCCTGAACTCTGGGCCTGGGCGCTGTCCCTCCGCTCTTCAGCTCAAGGCTAGCGCTCTACCACCTTCCCAGCCCCTCACCACCACATCTTTGAACCATTCTTCAAGTGGTTAATTTGTTTGTATTAAAGGAGATTTCATGTCTGCCTTAGCAATGTGCTAATGAAAGGAAATCATATTTATAACTCAACGAGTCATATACTCATAGATGATACATTAAAGCCTTTAACATGCTTGGTATACACGTCTCATGCTTATAACCCTAGCTACTCATAAGATTAAGATGAGAATCAAGGTTCAGTGCCAAAGTGGGCAGAAAATCGAAGTGTCTTTTATCTCAATTAATCACAACTAAAGGCATGGCTCAAGTGGTAGAGCAACAGCCAGGAATAAAATACCCCCATGGGATTGCAAAGCCCTGAGTTCAAGTCCCAATATTGACTCACACAAAAAGCCATTAACCCAAAAAGTATTATTGCAAAACTTCCTTTACCTACCTGGCAACTCCAGAGTTCACAATCGTGACCGGTTTTTCTTCAACCACCATCATTTCATAAAACCAAAGGCAGGGCAAGAGATCAATATTTCTGCACTGTTTGGTCTTTACTGTCAAGCAATGCAGTAAAACCAATTGAAGTTAAAAAGAAAACTCAAAGTGTGGTACTGGCAATATTTTATAGCCATACTGTATTATAGTACAAAGAAAGTTACTCTTGATTAGTTTTCAGACCCCTTAGAGATACCATCCAAAGTACAAAAATGGAGTCCTTTAACACTGGCAGACACAGAAGGAAAGCATAGTTTTCCCAAGGAAGCATGAAGTATATTCTAATAGGCAAGAGTTGATTCTATTAAGATAAATCCTAAGATATAGTTAATACTAAACTTCTGAATGTAGATGAATATAACTGTTTCTAAAATAATTGGACAATGTCAACTTAGGACATTAGAGCTTTTAGATGTTAGATTTGTTTTATCTTTGAGTGTGGTGAAAGACCTGTATGGCTCTTAATTATACACATTACAAGGAAAGAGCCAACTCTGCACAGGGTTGAGGTACGTCTTGAAAAATGAAAATAGCACACTAGCTCTTGTTTAGAATGCCCTTTGCTGATTTTGTGGAAAAGTTCTATTTTAAGCCTAAGTCATGATTTTTGCCTCTGTGTTTTGTTTAGAAAGAAATACTGCTGAATCATTCAGAATGTTCTCTGTGGCAGCCATTTTCAGACATCTTGAAAATCATAAATATCTCCTCGCTCCTTTAACTCACCCGATGGCATCCACAGAACAAGGGGTGACTATGGAATAGCTCAACATTTAGAATACATTTAAATAAATGTGTTCATGAATTCAGGAAAAGAGCAATCATTGACTATTATGTATTCCATGTACAAGAGGGGCCTAGGAGAATCGTGCTACCTTGACAAAGGATAATCCCCAAATCTCTTGCATTTGCAGTTTAGGTTTTGGGATATTAATCTGTTTATTTACCTCCCTACCTCCCTACTTACTGATCTATGCTGTTTGGGGTCAGGCCTCCAAAACACGGGCATTGTTTGTAACCTACTGACAAGGAAACACCTCCAAAGCAAATCCCATGGATCTTTGAAACCTGGAAAGAGAAATGTATCTGCCTTGGTCTGATGAAATTACTAACCAGCCTCCGAATATCCCGCTCCGACTCCCACTTGATCTTTGAGATGGCTTCTTGGTGAGACTGATGTTCACTTCTGAGATCCCCGGCCTTGATTTTATCCGCTTGGATCATATTACTCAGAGCCTCGTCCACCTGCTTCTTGGCCGTTTTTAAGTCTGTAATTTCCTGTAAGAGCTTAAGGCGCTCTGCATCAAACAGTTTCCGGGCCTCTTCCCGGGCCTCGATGGTGAGCGCTGTCCGTACTTTGTCACTGCTGCCATCCCGGAGAGCGCACAGGGCCGACTTGAGCCTCTGGATCTCTCCATCCCGCACCTTCACTGTCCGTGACATTTCTTGCTCATGCTGCTTGATGAGATTCTCCCTCACGGCCTGCAGCTCCTTCATCTTCTCCTCGTGGAGCTTGGCTTTGAGTTCCGTCACCAGGACGGTGTGCTTGCGCTGCTCCAGCTCGCGGATCCTCTTCGCTTCTTGAGTCTTCTCTCTTTCAAGCTTGGACACCTAAAGGCAGAGAACGCGAGAGGATGAAAAGAAGTGAGCCTCCAAGGGAGCATATGCTCCCAAGCAGGATTTGCAAGGCAGGCTGCTATGATTCCCTGAAACTTCATTCGCTTTTGAAAACTTCTAGGCCACTCTGTGCTCAGAGGAAAGGAAATCACCTATTCCTAGACTTCAAGCTAGGGGTATCAGGTGTAGAAGATGGAACACCACAGACGGTTTATCTTAATGCTGCTCGGACAAATGCTTGATCTTGTCGGGCCTTATTATTCCTGTGTGATCTGCAGATGAACAAGAAGCTTGTCAGAAATCCAGAATCCCAGACCCATCAATCACAAAGTTCATTCCCCACCCCATTCCTCCAGACAATTGGTATAGATTTTTTTTTTTAATAGGGACAATTTCTATCATGGGCCTCCCTTTGGTGGATTAGAATTCAATGCAGAACACCTGGAGAGCTTTTTTAGACTCTACAACCCTGACTAGATAGAAACGGACACATGTGGGCATCTCTGGAGAGCTCAGAGTTTGATAGTGTGATCAGGCACATGAATCGGTGCCTGAAATTAGATGATGAAGGATGCTTCTCCCTCCTTTTCTTTGCAGAGACTTGCTGCGAATGAGGAACCAGAAGATGAAGACAGGTCACTATAGCCACAACTTCATGGTACTATGAAATCCCAGCTCCATCCTCAAAGGTAATGCATGCATGCATGCACCAATCACCCAGCAGCGAAGCATGAAACCAAAAGCCTGTACTTTTTTGAGTCCTACTCTCAGACTTTAGTGGCTGCTTTTATTTCTGCATACTCCATAGACCTCTCAACATTCTTTCTCCACTCTCATTCTTATATGTCTATTATACTCTAAGCCAGTGCTTTGACCAGTGTAATAATGATTGCTTCTAATCGTTTCACTAGAAGCGGAGGATAGTAGTAGGGTTTGAGCTCAGAACCTTATGTTCACATGGTTTGCTGGCTTAGCTGGCACTCCACCACTTGAGCCACACCTCCAGCTGAACTTTTTGCTGGTTATTTTGATGATGGTCTTTTCATCCCTGGAACTGTCAGGCCAAGTGTAGAGCACCAACCTAGCAAGTGGGAGGCTGGGTTCAAACCCCAGGACTGTTTCAGCTAAAAATAAGTGTTTGAGATTCAAAGTCCTTTTGAAATCATTCTAATTATAAGGTGAACTGTCTGAGATTTTACTTACCTCAATGATTTACCTACCTTTAATTAGAACAGTACTCTTCTAAGGCCATATAACATCTTATGGATCTTATTTTTTAAAGACAAAAAGAAACGATTCTCAAAATGGTTGCTCTAAAAGAGTTTGGAGCACAAGGCACTTGGTAAAAGCAGAAGCCAGGCAAGTGTGAATGAGCATCCTTGGTCTCACCTCCAGCTTAGGCTTGAGGCTATTTCCTGGATGCCTCCCCTCTCACATGCTCTGAGGGGTGTGGTCCAGTATGGTGACTACTGTTGCAGTGAGCACTTGGAGTATTGCAGGATTGACTTGAGAATACTCTGATGTCAAATGCCCTTGGGAATTTGAAGACATATTGTGAAAGAAAGGATGTAAAATTTACTTGTCAATCATGTATATGGGGGCCACATGTGGAATTTATGATATTTTGGCTAAATTGCATCACATAAACTGTACTATGAAAACTAATTATGCTTGTTCTTTTAAAATTTATTGCTGGAAGAAACTTAATTACATTAATGGAATGCATTTACAATGATCTCAGTCAAAGTCAATGTAGAGTTCTTCAAGGTTCACTAAGTTCAATAAGGTACATGGTAATGGTCATCTATGAGGTTCAAAACTGGAGTAGGGAATGGACAGACAACCAGGCAATAATAAAAGTAATCATAAATAACAATAATAATCATAACAATAATAACACAGAGCTACCTAAATTCACTAATTGTGAACTAGATAATTGGTAATGTGCTTTTAGTAAAGCTTAGGTTTATTCTTTTTTTATTGTAAAGATTCTGTACAGAGGGGCTACAGTTACATGAGTAAGGTAATGAGTACATTTCTTGTTGAGCATTGTTACCCCCTCCTTTGTTGTTCTCCCATGATCTCTTCCCTCCTCTACCTCCCTCACTCCTCCCTGTCCCCCCCCCCCCGCCCCAAAGTTGTAAAGTTCATTTCCAATATAGTGTCTTGTGGGTATCATTGAAAGCTTATGTTTATTCTTATTTATACATCTGCTCAAAACTTGTACAGGATTCCTTTAGGCTGTAGAGGAAAAAAATCCCAAAACCTAAGCTTCATGATTTCCTGAGGCTCAGCTTTCATGACTCTTTGGGAAGGTTTCAGTTCCTGTGTTCTCCCTCCATTTCCCTATCTACCTGAACTTCAGGCACAGGGAACCTTACTGTTTTCTGCACACAGCATACATTGTATCTTATCTAGGGCTTACAATTGCTCTGTCCTTCCCTCAGTTCCTTTCTGGATCCGCTCATTCCTCCTGACCCAGCTAGGTACCAACTACCCCTGTCTTGCAAATCCAGCAACCAAAACATCTCTTTACTTGGATTTTCCTCCTTTTTCTTCTTCTTCTCTCCTCCTCCTCCTCCTTCTCCTCTTCTTCTTCATCATCCTCTTTCTTGCTGTTGTTATTATTATTATCACTATTTTATGCTTGTTTGTCTATTCTAGACTTGTTTGTTCATTCCTTACTTCAGTCTTGAAGTCATTACCATGTATCCACTGGTAACTAATGCACCACACAATAGGAGCCAGAGCATATGTGGAATAAAGGACTAATGTTAGTATGTTCTTCTAGCTAAGAAGAAGCGAGGATAATACACCTGTTGCACAGTTTAGAGAACACAGATTTGTATACTTAGTATAGCAGGCCTTTTCTGTACAATATTGCAACAAAACACAAAAACCCTTAACATAGCCTTTGTTTGCTGCTGCTGTCAATGTTTCAGTAAGGATAATCTAGATCTTGTTCTCCATCATTCTAGAAGATGCTATCTTCCAGATCCCAGGGTGAACAAACAATGACCCATAGGCCAAATCCATGGATTTAAATAAAGTTTCATTTGAACTCAGCCTTGCTCATTCATTTTCTTATTGCTTAAGGCTGCTTCATATCATAATAGAGTTGAGTAGTATCATAGAGATTGTCTAGCTCACTGAGACTAAATAAGGTATTTACTACCTTGCCCTTTATAGGAAAAGTTTGCTGAATGCTGTCCTAAATATAATAACTTTTAATGCTATAGAAATTCAATTTACCTTCTATATAAGACATTGAAAAAATTACTTTGCTTCACGTGAGAGAAACACAGTCCTCTTCGATTTCAGCATGATGTATTTATTTATACTGGACGTTTGGGACAATGTCATAATGCAAGGTGTTGGATAAAATGCTCCTAAGGGAAATTGTAGAAATTCTTCCTAGTACATGAGAAATTGTAACAAAAGTGAATAAAGAAATTAGGCAGCTGTGGCTCACACCTGTAATTCTATCTATTCAGGAGGTTGAGAACTGAGGATCATGATTCAAAATCAGCCTATGCAGAAAAGTCCATGATGAGTCTTTTTAGATTTTAAAAATGTTATTGTAATGGTGACGTACAGAGGGATTACAGTTACATAAGGTAGGTAGTGAGTACATTTCCTTTTGAACAGTGTCACCTCCTCCCTCATTCTCTCCGAGTTTTTCCCCTCCTGGCTTCCCTCTCCCCCACCCGAGTTGTATAGTTCATTTCCAATATAGTGTCTAGTGGGTTTCACTGCTGAACTGCTTCACCCTTTGTCTCACTGTTTCTCTGCTTCCCCTTCCACTCCCCAAATCAGATAAACTTAGATACAAGACAAAGGGGACAGAAATTAAAAAATAGTGATAGAAGGGATAAACCAAAGTAAAAAAAGGAAAGAAAATAAAAAACCCACAAAAAGTCTTACAAAATATTTCTTGCTTTCATTTCTTGGAGTTCATTTTGACCAGTATCATTTTATATGATCTTATGCACATAGCTATTGAGCCCTTGTGATGCTCTCCTAAGAATATCCTCCTTTGTTCCCACTGTGTGAGTGTTTAGACTGCTGTTTAGTTAATCGTGTCCAGGTATAATTATTTGTCTTTTACTATCCGTTGGATTTACTTGTAGAGTAATAGGCATATTCTAATTATTACAAATGAGGGAAACCATATAGCCTAAGTGTCTTTGGGTCTGGATTACTTGGCTTAGTATAATTTTTCCCAAATTTTTCTATTTCCTTATGAATGGGACAATGTAATTCTTTCTGATAGAAGCATAGAATTCCATTGTATGTGTGTGTGTGTATATATGTGTGTGTGTGTATATGTGTGTGTGTATCTGTATATATATATATATATATATATATATATATATATATATATATGCCATACTTTCTTGATTCATTTGTCCACTGAGGGACAGCTGGGTTGGCTCCATATTTGGGCTATGGTAAACAATGCTACAATGAACATGGTCATGATGTTAGCTTTAGTGTAGCCTGGTTTGTGGCTATTTGGATAGATGCCCAGGAGTGGAATTGCTGGATCATATGGAAGCTCTATGTTTAGTTTTTTGAGAAACCACCATACTGCTTTTCCGAGTGGTTGATACTTTGTGAACCTTTATGCTAAAATAGGAGAATCTGGAAGTAATAGAATATAGCAAATATTGATAAAAACTAAACTAAGAAGATTTAAACCAACTAAATAGACACATAACAAGTAATGAAATAGAATGGCAATGAAAGACCTCCCATCCAAGAAAAGCCCAGGATCAGATGGATTCACAGCAGAATTCTATAAGGCCTTTAAAGGGGAACTCATGCCAATAATCCTCAAACTCTTCAATGGAATTGAAAGAGACAGATCATTACCAAACTCATTCTATGAAATCAGCATAATCTTCATCCCCAAACCAGATAGGGACTCACCAAAGAAAGGGAATTACAGACCCATCTCTTTGATGAGTATCAGTGCAAAACTTCTCAATAAA